GCCAGCTTGTATGGCCCCAACAGGCTGAGGCAGCAAGCGTGTTCACATTAAAGTTAAAAAAATGCGACCACATGCTTACAAAATCTATTATGACAACGTTACCAAACAAATTAATAATTGGTACCGATGTGTTTGATCAGTACCATAGTAAACAACCTGCAAAAACATACAAAGTAACAGTGACTTGCAAGACTGAAATTCAACAAGGTGACGTTTTTATTGTTGACAGGAACTTAACTGTTGGAGATGTTGTAGATAAATTCAATGTTAAATGTATAGATATTTTATGAGAGAAGGAAATCAACAATAATTTGGTATCTATTGTCCAAACAGCGGCAGACAATGCTACCAACATTGCAATAAATGTTTTTCAAGTTATGATGGCTGGAGAACGAGCATACCCAACTTTTTTTAAATATTAAAAGTCATCTGACAACACCCTTTTGACACCTATCCCTGCAAATATATTTCAAACCAGGAATTGAACCTGTTAAAACAGGCATGTTCTTTTTCTATTTATTAATTTTGCAGGTAAGTGTCAGTACTTGTAGAGGTTAGCCAAATACTGACAGATAGATAATTTCAGACTAACCTCTCATAAATAAATGTAAATACCACATATTTAATAACATGTATGGTCTGCAGGGGTGTCTACTCTTTGTCTTCTAAAAATAAAAAACAGCACCAAAATTGTCAGCAATGTTCCTGGGAAGGTTATTTATTATGGTATAAAAGAATTTAATTTATTAAAAGTTAAATGCATCAAATTTGCAAAAGTGAAAGAAACATTCTTTAATACAAGGAGTTGGTACAACCCCCAAAACTTGAACCAGTACGTTCATATGTATAAGTGCAGGTTCTGTCATCTTTCCTCGTTTCTGATGGGTCTTGTTTATATATATTGATTATTCATACACCAGTACAGCATAATGAATTTATTTCTGCATATATGCCTGCATACATGTACATTAATAAACCTATATATTAGAAAGGACAAAATTTATTTTAAGTTTATATGACAGTAAAAAGTTAATATAGTCACTTAATATTAGTTAAAACAACATGTAACAACATCACACATCTCGCCAAAAAAAAAAAAAATGGAAATACCTACCTACCTACCCTATTTTTTTAAAGGATGTAACCTTAAACAGACATATATTTTTTTTTGGCCTAAGGGAACCACAAATTTAAATGTTCAACGAATTACAAATTCTCTATGGTCATGTATGCAGATTTTGGCAAAACCACGAAATCAAGTATCTACTAAAATGCAAGTTTTCCTCCATGCACAATTGTTGGTTCCCACAAAAATAAATCCACAGTAATTACTTTCTTAGATGCTTTCCTCCGAACCACTAAACCAATAGACCACTTTCAAGTTTCAAGTTATGTCCTTCACCGGAAAAGTTCGTCAATTATGTGTGCCTTTATGACGTCATTTACCAGATCGAGGGGATCACCTGTATCTATTAAAGTTCATCAAGTGTCTTCGTGATCGTCATTATGCAGGATAAACTAGAAACATTGTTTGTACCGTAGGCACTTAATCACATTTCCCTAATGACAGCAGTGCTGATTATCAATTATAAGAATTTACTTTGCTGACCAATTCGTGCAATATAGCATCATATTTTTTTTTCAACAGATCGCTCAACATGGGAGCAGAAGTGACGACGCCCCTAAACGCACAAATGATGTTCACTAAAACCAAAGTTTTTGACGGAAATGCAATGAACTCGAAAGTTGTCTATTAAAACAAAACTTAAGATGTTTTATCCTAATTGGTTTCAGATTAAAATTAATGTCCTTGTGAATGCTGTTGATTGTGTGTGAATCACTCTAGAACTCTGTGTGTGCAATATTGGTAATATATGAGAGTTTTAAATCAGAGTATGATATCCTCCAACCACCAGCAATCACCAAGCTTTGCAGTGATTCTACCAACATTACCAATAATAATTTTAACAATCCCCTTCACCTATTGTGATAGATGGGCAATGATGGTTGGAGGACTGTTTAACATCCAGTGGCAAATTATATCCATATTCAGGACAAAAAAATGATAATGTGATATGAAATATAAAAATAAGGAGATGTGGTATGATTGCCAATGAGACAACTATCCACCAAAGTTCAAATGAAGTGGATGTAAGCAATTATAGGCATCCATACAGCTTTCAACAATGAGAAAAACCCATACCGTATGGTCGGCTATAACAGGCCCAGACATGAAAAATATGAAACAATTCAATTGAGAAAACAGTCTCATTTATAACAAAACAATTTACGAAAAACAAATATTACAGACATGAACCAACTACCACACTGAACTAAAGGCTCCTGACTTGGGACAGACACAGAAAGAATATGGCGGGGTTAAACATGTTTGTTTGTTTTAACCCTGCTTTGTACTAGACTGACACAGTGAGTCAGATTTTTACTGTGCTAGTTCACAAGGTAGCAATCTGCAGGAGAACATGTCATCCTACCCAGTCACATTATTTTGACTCTTGGCTGACTAGTCTTTGCTACATGTAAATGCCTAATGCAGCATCCTTAATGGACAAGCAGCAAATATTGACAACCTATTGCACATGAGACCAGATGGTCTATTGGGACTGACATTTGATTGTCCATTAAGTGTAGAAAATTCTGTTTTCATGTTAGTAGTTAAAAAAAATTCTGTTTTCATGTAAGTAGTTAAAAAAGAACAGTTCTCCTTAGTAAATGTTGACAGGCTTTATAATTAAATACCAATGTTAACACCTGTTGATATTTTTCTGAATGAGTTACTTTAGCCAGATAGTATTATTCAGGGTATTTAACATATAATTACCTGTAATATAAACAAGTGCAGAATTTTATCTCTGAATCAAAGCAATAAAGTGATGTGGGGAGATTGGCTTTTGTTCTCTTAATATAAAATAACCGATTATGAATAATTGTCAGAGCATGTTCAACACTTTACGTTGTATGTAATTAAAGTGTCTGATTTATTTCGTAACTGAATTTTAATTGATTTTTATGGGGCGTCAATTAGGATTTTGTTACCATAAATAAGTTCTCTTTGTAATAAATGTATGAGAATAAATCTTTCTTAGAAAGTCATTGGTTCAGAATGGTGTGTGATAATATTGAGAGAAAAAAATATGTGCCTATGATTATGTTTTTGTCTTTTCAATTTATAATTTAGAGTAAACTCTTTTCACACCCTGACGCAAATTAATAATCTATAATCACTTTAGCATGTCATACATGTATGTGTGGGAAGTCTATATAAACATATTGTTTAACAGTGGGGTCTAAATGACTGTGGGAAAATGTACAGTTTATTGATCGTTTTATAATTACAGATATGTTGCATAAAATTTGTAAACTAAATTCGCATTGTAAAAGTTCATGCAATGGAAAATTTTATACTTAAACAACTTTAACTTTATTGAAAAAGAATTTTAGATCTATATAGATCTTGGATTAAAAGTGATGTATCTAAATGCTAATCCACTTTTAGCCAGGTAAGATTCAGAGTAAATGATATCTTTATATGCATGTACCTAAAAAATATAAATCTGAAGGATATACTGTTCTTGTGTAAGTCTAAATTTTCAAAGTCCTCTTTAAAATCCCAAATTTTCGTAGTTTAGAAAGATTTTTTTTTTAAATATATTTTTTGTATTTGTATTATTACCTCCCTTAGATATATAGGCAAATGCTACATGCAGTGATCTGGAAGGATTTTTTCTCTGTGGGCCCAGGGCCCCCCCAAAATAAATTCCATGGGCCATTTTTAGAATTAATGGGCCATGTTGTCAAATGAGTGGGCCATTCGTTAACAATAAAAAAAAAATTAAAAAAAGTGTATATTTCACTGTACTTACAAGTATGATTCTAATTAATATCATGGAAATTGTACCTGTGATTTTGTTATTTCAATTTCAATGAATATACAATAACTTCTTCCAAACCGGGCAATATTTACGATAACCTTTATTTACAATGTTAAAACTGGTACTGTTCCCTTGTTCATGTTCATGTTTTTTTTACATTAAATTTGGGTCTTCGTCGATACCATACTTATTCCAGACGTTCCGTAACTATGCTATTCATAAAAAGGCTTTTGGATTTTTCAATCGAAATAATAGCAAGCTTACTTAAAATATTATAATTAGAGAAGAATTATCGACTGTACTAGCCAATTTTCACAAATTTAAAGTTGTTTATAAAAAATTATATCATGAATGATGGTTAATTACGTTTTTTGGGTAATCAGTCATACCGCATGTTGCTATTATTACCATAGGAAAACACCCGAGACGTCCCAAAAATATATAGGTGCTCCTATCATTGGAGTTGTGTACTCACACATGGCGGCACGAAATACGATCTGAAATCCATTTGACAATATCTCAACGTTTCAAAACGAAGTGAAAAATATCATGCGCCACGCGGGCGCTTACATTTGTCACTCTATGCGCCATTTCTGGTCGATAAGCGCAATTGGCGCAAGGCGCACGTCCTTCCCGATCACTGTACATGTACCATCAAAGAGACAAAAAAAAAAGAAAAGAAAAGCAAAACTTTTGCCTTTTATAATATTATACACTGTGCCTATAAGGTTGGCAGAGATGCTTCCAAGTACTCCCTTCGTTATAGTTCTTTATCATATATTATGATTTCATTTGGCCTGTTGTATTTGGAAATTTCAGACCCCTCTTTCCTAGTGGCAATCCAAAATTTGCCACCATTAAAACAGTCGATTTACATTGGAGAACCTACATATTTGATAAATGTTTAAAAGTTCTCATCCTGAATTTGCATAAAATATTTGCCACTGGATGTTGGATATATACATGATATATATATATATATACAAAATACATGGTACTTTTTATAGTGACTTAATAAAAAAGAATTTTGTAGAATTAACTGTTCCTAGTAGTTTTAATGAAAATCCATCACCATGCTTTTTTAAAACTTTATTTTATTCTACTTTTCAGACGGTCTGTTTATTGGATAGAGAGTAATCCACCAACCCCTGGTCCTAATGGAGTAACAGTTATAGGTAAGCTTTCTAGACGAAATTATATGTGAAACAGGGCTCCAGACAAAGATTTGAACAAGGGACTCATTGAATCCTAAGCATACAATGTTATTACTTGTCGGAGACAACACAACTGGTCTCACTCCTTTTTGAGTGTATGCTATTTCCCTCAGTTTTTGTTTGTGTAACCTTGATTTGTCTCTTCCTAATCCACATACAAAGCTTGAACATGGGTAAACTACCTGCTGTGATCTTTATCTTCCAGTACAGCATATATAAAAGGATCTAAAATTTAAAGCAATTATTTTGGCTACTATGAGGGTAGGAATGCCCTTTATCCCTTTATCGTCAAATGTCCGTTTTTCGCTATCATTAGCATCAAATAAGCCTTAATTTTTTATCGTCATTCGTCAAATCTCGTTTTGTAGCTACTGTTAGCATCAAATCCTGCCGAACTGACTTTAAATAAAGCTAATACAAACAATGAACACTGCCCTTTCCTGGATCTTGATATCTTTATCTTTAACAGGAAACTTAATACCAAAATTTATGATAAAAGAGATGATTTTTCATTTCCTATTGTTAATTATCCATTTTTAGATGGTGGCGTTCCCTTGTCGCCATCTTATGGTGTTTATATATCTCAACTTGTTGGATTCGCTCGTGTATGTAGCAACGCATTTGATTTCAACGAAAGAAATCTCTGTAATTACTGAAAAATTATTACACCAGGGTTTTCGATATCACAAACTAGTCAAAACAATTACTAAATTTTATCATCGGTACAAGGATATCATTCATAAATATAAATCAACATGCAGACTTCTTATACGTTCAGGTATTTCACATCCAATATTTTATGGTAATATTCTTTACAAAGCACAAAAATGTCGGCATTCACCTCAAAAGCTAACCAAACCTTTACACAGACTTATTTGGAAAGGATGTAGTTACGATACTGTTGTCAAGTCATTAAGGATTGCATATTTTGGTATTAATATTGATTCACTCATAGGGTCTTTGCTTGGGAAATAAACACATTTATTCTAAAACCAGTTGTTGGCATGATACGGGTTATGTTCTTCTCATATATTTTATGATGGTATGATACTAAACCCCTAACAGGAGGAATTGTACTTGAGTTTCATATGATGAAGACATAATTTTTCAATCAGTTTAATTGAGGTTTGGAGCTGGCATGTCAGTAACTGCTAGTAGTCCTTTGTTTATTTATGTATCATTGTCATTTTGCTTAGTTTTTTTTGTTACCTATTTTGACATCGGACTCTGACATTTTTTAAACTGAGTTATACTGTGTGTATTGCTATGTGTTTCTTTTTTCTACATTGGCTAGAGGTATAGGGGGAGGGTTGAGATCTCACAAAACATGTTTAACCCAGCCACATTTTTGCGCCTGTCCCAAGTCAGGAGACTCTGGCCTTTGTTAGTCTTGTATGTTTTTTTAATATTAGTTCATTTATATGTTTTGGAGTTTAGTGTGACGTCCATTTTCACTGAACTAGTACACAAATTTATTTAGGGGCCAGCTGAGGACCACCTCCGGGTGCGGGATTTTCTCACTGCATTGAAGACCCAATGGTGGCCTTCGGCTGTTGTCTGCTTTTTGGTCGGGTTGTTGTCTCTTTGACATACAAAATGTATTCCCCATTTCATTTCTCAATTTTATTTCCTTGATCCACAAAAATAAATGAATCAGTAGATCATGAAGTAACAGTTGTAGGTTTCTGATAGCTTATATTTATGAATGTAATGAGGAAAAATGTCTTGTCATCATCACAAACTGGTTGACCAGGCCAAAAGTAAAAAGCAGCCTACCCGAAAAAATTTATGACACAAATCGTTTCAAACTTTTGAAAAATAAATTTTGTGCTCTAACGTCATTTTCTTGTCTAAAACATCTAACTTTTGATGTTGGCCCAAAAAAATAAAATCCCTACCTACCTACCTAACCCTATAAGGCATGAGTAGGCAACTTCAAACAAAGAATTTTTTGTTAAGGGTGGCCCCATTACGATGTGTCTGTGTCTCAAATCACATTGAACGGTGGTCTAAATTTCCTATTCCCAATATTTTGACTAACCTTGCAATCAAATAAAAGGAGATGCTTACCCTTTCAACGCAGCTGATCTCCCTTCTTTTATCCTTATAAAGTGCCTGTGATTGCTTCAGATTTTATTTTTTACTTTGCTTTTTATCATCCTGATGGATATATGATTCTTTATGAAAAATAAGGTACCGTGGGAAGTAGTTGAACTTATTTGCTACTGTTGTCTGAAAATTCTACCCCTCTTCGACACATTCTGGCTATGGGCCTGAAAATAATTATCATTCTGCACTACAAACATTGTTGAAGGCCATTCAATGACTTATAATCATGATATATAATTGCTTAAATCCACGTCATTTGGATATTTTATCTCATCGTCAATCATACCAAATTTTCTTATTTTAAACAAGAATTAACCTGCTTAACTTTTTTATCCCAGTAGACCCTGACTTGAACTTAATTAAGGTCCAATTTTATCTGCGTCAGGAACTTGAATATATATAATGTTTTGATGCAGCTTATGACACCAGTAAAATTTCAAACAGTGTTCGTATATTTCTAGACAGGTGATAAGTATAAGAAACAATTATTTAAATACCTACTACAGGTCAAATTAAAGATATGAATTAGATATAGATAAATATCAATAGGTTTTCCATTTAAGATTACTGAATTAAGTCTTTTTAAGTGGTCCAATATTTGAACTGTTAAGGCATACATGTACATTAAATGAAATGGCAGACAGAAAAATTGATTTTTTTAAAATAATTGTGTACAGTAGGATATTTAACAATATCTGATTAAACATTAAAAATATTTGTTTTTTGTAAATAGACACTTATGCAGCATGTTTCAGATTTCAGGATTCAGATATTATTGAGACTAAAAAATATCTGTCTTGATTAATTGAATTAGACGAATCAATACATTACACTGAATTATTAAATACACAATTAAAATGGTTGTCACAAGATTAATCAACTGTTAATGGGCATGTACTGTAGGGAAACATTGTATTTCATCAATGAGGTGTTGATTAATTAATGTTTAATTAAATGAAATTGTTTGTCAGAACAAATCTTTTAATCTTCATAACAAACTCTCTTGCAACAGATTGATTGATGGTAGTTTGCTTTGAAGTCCAGTGGCAAATATATCATGCATAATTCATTCACCTTTGTCAATAAGAAGGTGTTAATTGGTTTAATATCTTTTATTTAAGTGAAAGTTACTTCTCAGAATAAATCTTTCTTCATCTTTTATAGGTGTAATACAACCAAATTATAGTACGTCACATCCGGTTTCATACGAAAAAGGGTCGAAAAAAAAAATTCCCTTGAATTTGACAGTTGTAGGAAATTAATCCAACATTTCATTGCAGTAAAAAATTTCTGAATCATAAACATATATCTTGGGTGTTTCAAAGCACCATTCTTTTTTTATTTGGTGTTTCTATCAAATATTTTGGAAACTTCAGGTTACATTATTACTAATGCTTGTAAACAGGTAAAGAAGGGGTGAACATTTGATTGGTTAACTTCCAGTGATGGTTATTATCTTATATGCAATGATATGTTATGTGAAATTTTGTTTGTAGTACTGGACAGGATAAAACTTTACTCATGCCAAGTATTTCTTTATTTGAAACAAGGATAAATTCTGCACAATTTTTTAAAAAGTGCCCATTTAACAAAGATCTATATCATTAACGGAAAGCTTAATACTAAAATATATGATAAAAGAGATGATTTTTCATTTCCTATCGTTAATTATCCATTTTTAGATGGTGACGTTCCCTTGTCACCATCTTACGGTGTTTATATATCTCAACTTGTACGATTCGCTCGTGTATGTAACAATGTTTTAGATTTTAACAAGAGAAATTTATGTATTACTGAAAAATTATTACACCAGGGTTTTCGATATCACAAACTAGTCAAAACATTTACTAAATTTTATCATCGGCATAAGGACATCATTCTTAAATATAGCTCAACATGCAGACTTCTTACACGTTCAGGTATTTCACATCCAATTTTTTATGGAAATATTCTTTATAAAGCACAAAAATGTCAGTATTCACCTCTGAAGCTAACAAAAACCTTTAAATAGACTTATTAAGAAGGGATATAGTTACGATACTGTTGTCGGGTCATTAAAGATTGCATATTTTGGCGTTAATATTGATTCACTTATAGGGTCTTTGCATCGGCACTAAACACATTTATTTAAAAACGAGTTGTTGGCATGACACGGGTTATGTTCTTTTCATATATGTTATGATGGTATGATACTAAACCCCTAACGGGAAGGATTGTGCCTGATATTCATATGATGAAGACATAATCTTTCAATCAGTTTAATTGAAGTCTGGAGCTGGCATGTCAGTTAACTGCTAGTAGTCTGTTGTTATTTATGTATTATTGTCATTTTGTTTATTTTCTTTGGTTACATCTTCTGACATCAGACTCGGACTTCTCTTGAACTGAATTTTAATGTGCGTATTGTTATGCGTTTACTTTTCTACATTGGCTAGAGGTATAGGGGGAGGGTTGAGATCTCATAAACATGTTTAACCCCGACGCATTTTTGCGCCTGTCCCAAGTCAGGAGCCTCTAGCCTTTGTTAGTCTTGTATTATTTTTAATTTTAGTTTCTTGTGTACAATTTGGAGTTTAGTATGGCGTTCATTATCACTGAACTAGTATATATATTTGTTTAGGGGCCAGCTGAAGGACGCCTCCGGGTGCGGGAATTTCTCACTGCATTGAAGACCTGTTGGTGACCTTCTGCTGTTGTCTGTTCTATGGTCGGGTTGTTGTCTCTTTGACACATTCCCCATTTCCATTCTCAATTTTAATAGGGTAAAACAATGGTGGTATTACTACTTATAGCACCTTCTCAATCAGATGTTTGAATTGATTGTTGTTTGTTTGTCCAGTGGTAGATATTTGGTGCATTTTTTGTCTCATGAGGTTGATATTTAACTTATGTCCAGTAGCAGATATTTGTTGCATATTCTTTTCATATGGTGTTCATTAATTTGTCCTTTTAAGTGCAAACTACCAGTCAGAACAAATCTTCTTTTTTCATCTACATAACACCTTCTGATTTCTTAATGTCCATGCAGTGGCAAATACTGGTTTTTCATCCAAATTCATGACTAGAACCAGTTGATTATAAATCAAATAGTTGACTCTCCAAAGTGAGTCAACTAGGGTGAAGGAATTCCACTTGAAAAAGAGGATACATGTTTGATAGGAGCAGAAGCATCAAATGTGGCCAGAAAATTTTCACTGGCTTTTGATTAAAAAGGGAATTCCTGTGGAAAATTATTATAATAATTTAAAGTCCTTGAACTAAAAAAAAGTTAAACTGAATTCAAATGATAGATTGTGTTTCAATTGATCAGTCTATCCATTAGCAGTGATTTGTAGCTTTCCAGATGGACACAAATTAAAATCTTAGGCCATTTACAGCCGATTTCAATGAGTGTCTGTAGGCAAAGGTAATATCTTTGGTTAGCTTGCTTGCTAGATGAACCGTGAAGTCATAGTTAGGTAAGGTATACTATCCTCCTTTCGAAGTAGCTTAGTCCAACAGACAGATTATCTGTCGGACTAGTCTACTCTTAAAGGAGGGTAGTTTACCTAACCTAACAATGACTTCACAATTCAGCTAGCAAGCAAGCTAACCAAAGATATTACCTTTGCCTACACACTCATTGAAATCGGCTGTCAAATTGAATGTTGGTTTGCCCTTACACAAGAAAATTTTAAAGGTTCGGCAAGCAGGACAAACTTTTTTATTTAATTTAAGAATTTTTTGGGGGAAATCAAAAGTTGCATATGCAGTTTTGCTCTACAGAGATTTTTTTCTTTAACCACTGAAAAAACTTGTTTGACATAATATATCGATCTATTTTGTTAAATGATTTTAAGCTGTTTTATACTTTAAGAATGATAAATGAAACATTTTTTAAGAAATTATCAGACAATTAAAACATCATTGATAATTGTTTAAAAAGAGTCTCTAGCTCTTTTTTTCACCTGTTAATAAAAACAATTGACCCAGAGGGAAAAAAACAGACCAAACAAGGTGAAACCAACAATATTTTTTTGCATGGCCTTAGTATTTAAAAGCTATTAAAATATTTTATGGAATTAATTAAACAATATATTGACTTAAAACTATCATTAAAATATGTCCACACATGTACATCATCGAAAGGCAACATATTTATATTAAAATTCACCAGCGTGTGAAATGGAAACCTTTTAAATATCCAATTATGACCATTTGAAATAGGAAGACTTGATTAAAATCAATATAATAATATGGATAAATTTGTTGACTTACTTCAGGTGAAGTCAATATAAATGTTTTTTTTCAATATTAGATGATTTAGATGTTACTAGGGACTTAGATGATCAAAAAGTAAGTTTTGTTCGAACAATATCATTTTATTTTTGCCTTAATTAGCACTGACTAATAGTGGAACATCTTTTGTGTACATAAAATTACCTCATAAATTGATCCTATATTGGGTTTTATCATTTGTCTTCAGTTTTTGTTTGCTATGTTAACAAAATGTTGCTTAAAGAGGAAAAACGAGGGAGATTATTGTCAACTAGTTAACCCAGATATATTTAGATAAGGGGTAGAAGGACCTTTTTTGGGACGTCACGATTGGGCCTTTATTTTTGGAGGAATTTGGTATTTACACTTTAATCAGGACTCAAAATTAATTACTAATTTTTCGAGATAGGGAAAGACTGCTTTATTTTTGATTCGGTATTTCTTTTCCATGATTTCAGGATGACATCCTCCCCCTCCCCCACTTAAATGTCTACATGTTGTCTGTCAGTAAATTGAAATCAAACATTCAGTGACCATTTTTTGTCTTGCCTTGACAGAGTAAAAAAGCGAACCATAGGTATGCTGTTTCCGGCGATGGCGGCATCAACAATGTATTAGTTTGTGATTAGGTCTAGTTTATGGTGAATCACTTGTGGTAGGTCAATGATATTTGGTATGCAGTTCTATAAGCATTGGCACATCTCATTACCATGGAGATTATTTGGCCCCGCACCCTCAGTCAGGGTCTATTGACTTTGAAACTATATGCATTAGCACATCTCATTTCCATAGAGAATATTTGGTCCTTACCCCTCAGTCATGGTCTATTGACTTTGAAACTTTTGCTTAGATTACATGTATTAAGTTTGTGATTAGGTCAGTTTATTTATTTATTTTTGGTGTTTTAACGCCACTTTTAAGCACGGCTTTTGGGCTATTTTGTAACGGCCAGTTTTTAATGTTGGAGGAAGCCGGAGAAAACCACCAACCTTCGATAGGAAAACTGACAATCCTAGTCAATTAAGATTGGAGTCGAGTGCACCTTTGAGGGGGGTTCGAATTCACAACCTCGGTGTCAACAGTTGACTGGCTAGTGATTACAGTAGTAACTACTTAGACCACTCGGCCACCGAGTCCCCCTAGGTCAGTTTAAGATGAACCACTAATGTAAAGTCAATGATATTTGGTATGCAAATGTATTGACATTTGCAAGTTTCATTTCCATGGAGATTATATGACCCCACTCCCTCATTATGGTTCATTGACTTTAAAACTTTTACATAATTTACAAGTTAAATTTTGTGTTTAGGTTTGTTTAAAGGGAACAACTTATGAAAAAGTCAATGGTATTTGGTATGCAGTTGTATTAGCATTGGCACATCTCATTTCCATGGAGATTGTTTAGCCCTGTACCTTCAGTCATGGTTCATTGACTTTGAATATTTGCATAACTTACATGTTAAAGTATTGCTATTTTAATTTCAACATTTGCATTATCAAATAACAAATAGGCGAGACATATCTCTGTTAACAGTTTATTCATTGAAATGTTGTAACTGGAAAAAATAGCCTCCTAGATGGACTTTCATAAGAACCATATTTCCATATAGGTAATTTAACACGTTTCTCAGACATGTATGTGAAAGAATGGGTAGATTGAAAAGACAAGGTATGAAAGACCTTTTATTTTGGTTGCAAAATTTGAAAACAAAGAATACATGTAATTATCAATCTGTCCTAATGACATACTTCAATATATATGTTCATAATTTTGAAAGGCTTGAATGATTTTACTATTTTCACCTTTTCAGGAGCCAAATAATGACTTATCGTATACCACCTTTTTTCTAGAAGACAAAAAAAAAAAGAACCTATTCGACTTTCACAAATCTGTTTTGTTTGTTTGTATTAAGCTTAAAATTTATCTTTGCAGTGGCAACAAAAAGAGTATCAGAATTGGCACAGCACAGAATACCTCATCAGTATAAAGCAGATAGGTAATTAACATAATTACACAGTAGAATAGATTTAAGCTTGGGACGAAAAAAAGTATAGCTCTGTTTCTTGCCTTAATGTACCCTAAATTTTCATGCCTACCCTAACAAATTTTATGGAAATATTTGGGTAAGCACTGTTTAAGTGCAAACATTTTTGGGTAAATACCTTTAAAGTTCAGAACATTTCCCTTCACAATCTGTAAAAATTTTCAAAAATAAATTAGAATAGTTATATTTACCTTGACCTACCTTTATATTTTTGGGCCATGAGCCTGTAAATACACTCATCATAGATACCCGGAGTAAAATTTTGTATACCAGACACACATTTGGTCTACAAAAGACTCATCAGTGACAAAAGTTAAAAAGGCCAAAAAAGGTATGAAGGGGATGAGCATTGTGGACCAAAAGTTTCTAAAATGTTTTGCCAAATACAGCTTAGGTTAATAATACAGTGGTTGTAAAATTTTGTGAATGCCATCAAGAGTTGGTTGACCATTATAGAATATCTGTTTCATAGATGACAACATTACAAATATGTTCAATTGTTGTCACCACAACCACCTATGTTTTATTAATTAAGTTAACTTTGGGATTCTATTATCTTTATTTTTCTTCAAAGTTTATTATACAATTCTGAATACTCCTTTCTTTCCCTTGTCAGAACATTTTATATCTATTCTTTCAAAAAATCCAACATAAATATGTAAGAGTATAAGCTCCCAAAAAAAAATACCATACTTTTTTTGGCAAAGAATTGTTATTAAATTGTATTGTAAATTGTGCAAATTTAACATATCATTTCAAGATCTGTACTGTTTAATTCATAGATGTTCAATTAAGGAAATTGAATCCCTTCAAATGAAAAAAAATAATATTTGATTACTTTTTCTCATGTTTCAGGCCTTCCCCAATATGGCCAGTCAAACAGACAGCGATAGAACAAGAAGCCTCAGAGAGAATTCACCAGTTATCCATGCATAAAAATGCCCACCCACAGCATGCTTATGACAGGACAGCCTACATTGAAGTTTCACCAGGGGCCAAGAGGGCAGCATCAACCGAACGCATAGAAATGCTAAGCAGACCAAAGATGAGACAAGATCGTTTTGGAATGGATGAGACGGAATGGGGTCAGTATTTTCCTGTGTCTGAAGGAGCGAAAAAAGCAACAGCCTCTGGAAGGATTGAAAGTTTAGCGGAATCTAAAAGATATCATGCAATGTTTCAGAACGAGAAACCAGTACAGTGGCCTGTTGATGATGGGGCCATGAAAGCAATCGCTAGTCTTGAAATACAAAAATTAGCTCGTCCCCGCAGTCGTACTATGATTAAAGACGATTATGATCCTTATAAAGTTCCCCTGGCCGCTAGAAGAGCAAGGGCAACACCTAGGCTTGACGAACTTTGTGTACCTCTGCCAAGAAAATGTAGACCGAAGAAAGCAGCTTAATTTTGGCTGTTTTTTAATTGGAATTTTTTTTCTAATCATCTTGTAAGAATGAAGTCATTAGTTTAAAATGTGCATTTATTTATTTTTAAGTGTTAGAACAAGTGTGAAGCTAAGGAATTTAGCCTGTTTACATTGTAGCTTATTGACGATATTTAGCATATTTTTCTCATGATGAATTGTACTTAATTTTCATCTTATTAACTGTGAATTCATGTTATGTTTATGGGTGCCAGTTTCCACAAGTTATATCGAAGCTGTTTTGGCTAGATACACGATTTGTGTATTTATTAATTAGTATAATATTGGAAGGTTTACATATCTTGATACTAATTTTTGATGAACAGTTTTATTGCATCTACTTCAACAGTAGTAGATTATCTTTAATTTATTTTTCAAGGATCACTGTTGAACTATTTGTCAAGACAAAATATATATCATTGTTGAAATCTCCATGAATTAACTACTTTAATATATTCAGTATTAAAATTTCGCCAAATTTTTCATTTGAATATCAGTCATCATTGAAAATGTAACATGGCCAAAATGTATAAAAATACATAAAGGCTGTATTTGCACTCTCAATATAATAAGTTAAAGCCTGAAAATGAGAGGAGTGATTTCCAGCATAAAAGAGGGAAAATGTTCTGCTTTTATGAACACAAGATTACATATATACAAAAATTAGAAGAAAAGATCCACAAAAAAAGGGGGAGGTTGTGATATGTTTTTTTGTCTTTTATAAATGAGAACACACTTATGTCACTTATGAAAATTTCTATGAAGAGAATAAGAATCTAGTGATACACTGATTTCCCCATTCCTGTTTTTATTTTTCGTATAAAGACATCTTCTTAATTAAAACTTGTGTCTTTTTTTATAAAAGAGAACTATATTGACATTCAGTATACTATTATAATAGACGATGCCCTTACTCAGTATTATATGTATTTAGTATCACTTATACTTTGAATGTGAACAATCATGTGACAAGCTTTTGATATTGAAATGGGATGGTCTGTGTTTTTTTTTAAATTTTTATCACAATTCCAAAATTTAAATGGGATGGTCTGTGTTTTTTTTGTTTTTTTTTATCACAATTCCAAATTTGAAATGGGATGGTCCGTGTTTTTTTTTATCACAATTCCAAAATTGAAATGGGATGGTCCATGTTTTTTTTTTTTAACACTTTATTACCTTGTTGAGTTATTTACTGGTTGAAATATTTCATAATGAAAATTTTCTGGTTTTGTGATTTGGATTATCAGGTAAAACTGGAGTAGAGAGTGAATATCATGGATAGTTTGAATGCTCAACAATTATCCTATGACTATCTCTTTGGAAGTATAAGTGAACCCATGTTGCTATTTTAGTATTTTGTTTTATTGTTTGTTCAATGTTGTATGTTTTTGGATCAGTTTTTAACTTAACTCATCTTGCTTGTTAGGGGTACTGCTTATTTTTTAGATCAAAACTGTGACTGTTGGTGCTTATATGGAAAGATTTTACATTTTTATAATAAAAAAGCATTTACTATTAAAAGTTGTAATAGTCCTTAGTTATCTTGCATTTAATGCAGTTTAAGATATGTAATTGTTAAAAAAAATATACTTTGTATAGTAAACAGTTTGTATGCATATGAATCTTGAGTTTAGAAAAATAAATCTTAGATTTAAGAAAATGTGTAGAAACTTTAAGCATAATAAGATTTTATTGTTAAGACATTTGTTTATTTATAACATTTAAGTTTAATACTAGGGTAAACAAAATATTATATTATCTTTTTTTGTGTATTTGACTCTCAGATTTTACCAATTTGATAATGCATATGACATAATATACTATAATATAATTTTATTGAATTTGTTTAAAATATTGTCAATTTAAAAAAAATAATATGAATTTTCTTGTCAAGTACTATTCTTTTCGTATTTCGACAATTCACAAGAAAATAATTAGTATCTGAACAACAAAGTTGAAATTTTTCTTATACAACAACTTATAGTATTTATCATGTTTATTATGTAAAGTAGCAGTCAAAAATCTTTTTGAATATCTTAATTTGCAGTGATTTGATGTGCTATCGGTTAACCTGAGATTTGCTCAAAGTTTGTACATAACGTTTCTTTATATAGAAGATCAACTGTCAAACCATGTCAAAATAATAAATTATTATTTCATATTTAATTTAAAGTACAACATATGAAAAATTACAGTTACACTAGAAGTAGATGTTCCTCAAAATTTTATTCCATATCAAAGATTATATTAATGCATTAAGATTTCTACAAAATTTAACCAGTTATGAAAAATATTAAGCAAATGTAAAAGATCTAAAAGTGTTAAAATGTGTGTGAAATTTAGCATTTTTAATTCTAGATGTTACCATTTTATTTAACTGCCTTCATTTCTCAGTTTTTCAGTATTATGTGGTTTTTTTCTTGCCTTTTTTAATTTTTTTTTGTTACTTTTTTGTAGAAGAAAATATTAGTTAGGCTGATTGTAGTGTTTTTCAGCGTTGTTGATTGGTGCTTTCGCTTTTTGCAAATTATTCAAATGTAACTGAACTATTCTTTGCATAATTAGTACTGTAATATCATGGCAAGATTTTGTGTACGCTATTAACTTTGTAAACATTGATTACTATTTAATTTTTTAATAAAAAATTTCATAGGTATTAAAAATAATCAAAAAACCTAATCACTTGTCAGCCATTTCCTTGATGTTTTATTAAAAAAAAGTATGTATAGAAGAGAGTTTTTAAGTTTTTTAGAGGACTTTATTTTCATTCAGTATTTATTATTTTGTCAAATGTTTTTTTATTTTGTTAAATGAATTGTATTGGACAAAACTTTGACCTTATGCATTTTATTTTTTTGAATTTATCAAAGTTTATTTATAAGTCTCTTTTGCATAAATCTCCCTAACATGTTTGAAATATTTGTAACTTGACATTAAGCAACAAACAAACAATCTTCCACATAAATGAATGAAAATATGCATGAAATATTTGCGACTGAACGTTAACAAACAAATAGTCAGTCATCTGCATGAAATTGACAGCAGTTCTTTATATTTAAAAATAAATACAAATTAAAAGGATAATTAAAATAGGTTAATTTAGCAAAGAATAAACTTTTTTATTTTTTAAGATTTCTTATCTGTCAGAGTATCCTCCCTTTTCTTCCTGTAAAGAGATGCATAAGGTCAAAATCTTTCCACCATTGCTGTTATATATATGTATTAGGTATGAACCTCACAGTATTATCAATGCACACAGTATTATACATTATTTCTGTTTTATAAAGTCTATTTCTATTATAGTTGTTCTGGATATTGAACTTTTTTATATGTGATAAATACATTTAAGTAGTTATTTTTACCACCAATTATGATTTCTGATGCAGACCAATTTAATGCAGAAACACAGAAGCTTAAAATTTTCATTGAAATAACAGATACATGCATATGCACTGTGTAGATATCGAATGTCACCAAACTGGTTCAAAAGATATTCCTACAATTTGAGCTTGTATTTACTTGATATTCAGGATTTATTTTCTGCATCTCTCTTTTGATGATTTTGAATTTAAGTAGGTCTTTGTGTCATCAGATCTTTTGGTGGTAAACTTGAAACTGCTTTATGACGTATATGTGATATTTGTTTTTACATTTACATGGAGAGAGATTTATCTTTGAGTATGTTTGTATATGCAAAACTCAGAATAAAAATTGTAATGTTGACCTTTATTTTATTCATTAATAGTCTGAATAAATGAGATGTGTGGTAAACATCAACCATAGAGTATCTTTTGTTCCACTATTTTTTTGACGGTTTCCACTATTATTAGCCTGCACTTGTAGGCCTTGGTGACCAAGAAGTCTTAAAGTTGTTCATTAAGAGTGATCTCTATAAAAATAAGAAAGATGTGGTATGATTGCCAATGAGACAACTCTGCACCAAAGACCAGTGGCGTCAACAATGTATTAGTTTGTGATCTCATTTCCGTGGAGATTATTGGACCCCATCCCCTCAGTCATGGTCCATTGACTTTGAAACTTTTGCTTAGTTTACATGTATTAGTTTGTGATTAGGTCAGTTTAAAGGGAACCATTAGTGGTAGGTCAATGATATTTGGTATGCAGATGTATTAGTATTAGCACATCTCATTTCCTCGAGGGTTATTTGGCCCATCCCCTCAATCATGGTCTATAGACAATGTTTTGCATAGTTAAACATGTTGAGTTTGTGATTAGATAAGTTTAAGATGAACCATTAATGTTTAGTCAATGATATTTGGTATGCTGATGTATTGGCATTTGCATGTCTCATTTCCATGGAGATTATATGGCCCCATATCATGGTTCATTGACTTTGAAACTTTAACATAGTTTACAAGTTTAGGTTTGTTTATAGGGAACAACTAATAATAAGTCAATGGTATTTGATATGCAGTTTTATAAGCATTGATATTACTCATTTCCATGGAGGTTGTTTGGCTCTGCGCCTTCAGTAATGGTTCATGGACTTTGAATAATTTGCATAGTTAACATGTGTAAATATTGCCATTTTTATTTCAACATTTGCATTATACTATCAAAATTACAAAATGTGAGACATATCTCTGTGTCAACAGCTTATTTTGTAGTTTTGTGCTAATTTCTCAAATACTGTAAATAATAGAACTAAATTTAGTATTTGGGATCGTTTGCAAGGTCTCTGTGTCTGTCGGGTTTTACTTGACCTTGACCTCATTACATGGATCAGTGATGAAGGTTAGTTACTGATCATTTCCTGTTTTCATATACCATAAGCAATAGTGAATTATATCTGGTGTTTGGAATGGTTGTAAGGTGAACATATGCAGCTGGTATAGTGCATTTTCATGGTAAACTGGTCCACATTAAGTAGTTGTAATTCAGACGGTTTCTCAGATACTACTATAAGTAAAAAGTCAACATTATTTTGTGTATAGAATGATTGTTAGGTTCACATGTCTGTCTGGTAAATTGTATCTGACCTTACCCTCATTTACATTGATCATGTGAAGATGATGTGAAAGCTGTCGAAACTGTCACCATAAAGACTAAATATTCAATCATGATCAGTCATGTCAATAAAGCAGGCAGAATTTTCATTCTGAATGGACCGCAACAGTCTTTATAGAATATAAATATGTTGTTGTATTAAAGGTTACTGTGGATTCATTATTATTCTTGGGATACCAATTTTCATGGGTTCAGGTGAACCACAAATTTAAATGTTAAACGAAGTACAAATTTTCAATAGGTTGTAAATAAATAAAGGCAGCAGTTGTATACAGCTGTTCAATAGTCATAAACTGATTAAGCAATACAAATCCAGGTCACAAACCAATAGAATGCTCCATTGGGCGCAGCTTGATACGACTGCAGAGGTCAAAACTCTGAACAGTTGGGGCAAGTATGGACACAACATTCAAGCTTGATACAGAACTGAATTTGGATTGTGATTAAATATTTGACACAGCATAGGTTTCTGACACAGAATGAATGTGGTCTAAGAACTTAAAAATTTTATATTTACCTATTCAAACCATATCATTATTATTTGCTTTTATATATAAATCAGAAATAACCAATTTAAAATGGAAAATTTTAAAGAAAAAAAAAGGACAAAAAAATCCCCCCCCCCAAATTTTTTAAACCCCCTTATGATTTATCACCCCCAAACTCAATCCCAGCCTTCCCTTTGTGGTATGGTACCTTGCAGTATAATTTCAGAGAGATCCATACACTTGAACACAATTTATTGTCTGGAAACTAGAAAAATGCTTGTTTTTTGGCCCCAAATTCCTAAACGTTTAGGGCAATTACCCCCAAACTTAATTTCAGCTTTCCCTTTGTGATATGGAACCTTGTAGTACAATTTCATTAGTATCCATACACTTACACACAAGTAATTGTCATGAAACAAGAAAAATGCTTGTTTTTTGCCCCTTTTTTGGCCCCTTATTCCTAAAATTTGGTTGCAATTACCCCAAAATCAATCCCAGCATTCCCCCTTGTGATATGGAACCTTGTGGTACAATGTCAGAGAGATCCATACACTAACACACAAAATATGTCTGGAAGTTACAAAAATGCTTATTTTTGGCCCCTTATTTCTTAACTGTTGGTACCATAACCCCCAAAATCAATCCCAACCTTCCTTTTGTGGTATTGAACCTAATGGTAAAATTTCATAGAGATCCATTAACTTAAACTAAAGTTAGAGTGCGAAAACCAATGTGTCTTCGGACGACGACGACATCGCCAATGTCATACCAATATACGACTGCAAAATTTTTTTTGCGGTGGTATAAAAACCGAGGGAAACACATCAACTATAAGAGGAAAACAACGGAACAACAGAAACACTGAACTGCAATCAAAACAAATGCAAACATACATAGAAACGGACTATTTGATAACAACTGCCATATTCCTGACTTGGTACAGGATATTTTAAGAAAAATGGTTGGTTGAACCTGGTTTTATGGCCAGCCAAACTTTCCGCTTATATGGCAATGTTAAAAACACCGTTAAAATGACAACATTACATGACAGGAATTGTAAGCAGCATTTGCATAATCACAAAATCAAGTATCCACAAAATTTTTTTTTTTTCATCAATCCACAAAAAAATAAATGAATCCACATTTATGTTTTAATTTGTTGGATAAAAGGTTAAAACACAATAACTTTTACTTTAAAACATTTATTAAATAAATACAGTCTTATTTTAAGACATTATTGTTATACAATACATAATTTACTTCAGAACCACAAGTGTAAGGAACACATTTATCTATCATCATGTTCATGATCTTGTGATCTTGTCCCCCCCCCCTGAATGTTTATTATTTTTATTTCTATTAAATAGAAGAGATGTGAAGTGTACTTAAATGAGACAGCAACCCTACAAACAATGACACCAGGGCATGACATATCAAGGATACCATGGTCTTCTTTGATAAGGTTCCTTACTAGAGAGGCTAAAACTTCATGTGGGGATATTAAGCTCCTGAGGAACTCATTAATCTCTTATACATGTCATAAGTATTTAAATCTAATATAATGGTTTTAATGAGTAATTTATTGTCTTCAAATGCTATTGTAACTCCCTTGAATGCCTGTTTTAGTGTATTAATTTATACAGTGGAAGATTTCAAGAATCAGGTCAACACCGGACGTCTGATTGAGGAAATCCCCCATGATTGATGAATCTGGAAAGTTTGCTGGTCTGGGCATAATTACAAAACTGAAATATATATATCACCTAGAAAAAGGTAGCTATAATATAATACTTAACCAAAGAAAATAAGACATGGCAGTTCAGAACAAGCAAGGTCACAAAAAACAAAAATGTCCTGTACCTGTGTTCATAGTCCAAGATTGCTCTAACATCTGAAGGCCATGGGACCCAACCAAGTCCTAATAAAATGCTTCGCTGGGGCGCAGCTTGATACGACCGCAGAGGTCGAACCCTGAACAGTTGGGGCAAGTATGGACACAACATTCAAGCTTGATACAGCTCTGAATTTGGATTGTTATTAAATATTTGACACAGCATAGGTTTCTGACACAGAAAGAATGTGGTCTAAGAACTTGAATTTTTTTATTTACCTATTATGGTCCAATGTCCAAAATCAAAATACATGGTTAGATTCAGCATATCAAAGAACCCCATATATTCATTTTTTGTTGAAATCAAACAAAGTTTAAATACTGGACCCTATCTTGGACCAACTTGAAAACTGGGCCCATAATCAAAAATCTAAACACATGTTTAGATTCAGCATATCAAAGAACCCCAAGAATTCAATTTTTGTTAAAATCAAACTAAGTTTAATTTTGGACCCTTTGGACCTTAATGTAGACCAATTTAAAAAACGGGACTTAAAATTAAAAATCTAAATACACGGTTAGATTTGGAATATCAAAGAACCCCAATAATTCAATTTTTGATGAAATCAAACAAAGTTTAATTTTGGACCCTTTTGACCTCAATATGAACCAATTTGATAGCGGGGCCCACAAATAAAAAATCTAAATACATGGTTAGATTCAGCATATCAAAGAACCCCATATATTCAATTTTTGTTGAAATCAAACAAAGTTTAATTTTGGACCCCAACTTGGACCAACTTGAAAACTGGGCCCATAATCAAAAATCTAAAAACATGTTTAGATTCAGCATATGAAAGAACCTCATATATTCAATTTTTGCTAAAATCAAACAAAGTTTAATTTTGGACCCTTTGGACCTTAATGTAGACCAATTTGCAAACTGGACCCAAAATTAAAAATTTAAATACACTGTTAGATTCGGCATAACAAATAAATAAATGTGATCAAAGATTTTACAAATCTAATGCGCCATACTGTGCAATTAAAGATTACTTCTTGAAATTTTTCAATATTTGAAATTTGAAAAAAAAAATAATATTTGAAGAATAATTCTTTTTAATTTCTAAAATGTGAAATGAGAAAAAATTGACCCCCCACAATTTCTTTTTATCCCCCCCCCCTTTTTTCCCCAAAAAATTCTTTCCCTCAAGATATGGTCATAATCTCAATTCAAATTTCCAATGGAGTTGGCAACCATAATTACCCATTTAAATTTACCATAGTGCTAACTTAATCTATTTTATAATAGAATTAAAAATATAGTGTCAAATCTTTCATATGGATTTTTTTGTAAAAAAAAAAGATGCAACATTTGCAGATATTTTTACTGGTCTTCCTTTATAAATATGCATTTCTTTAAACATAATTTAAAAGCAGTGTAAGGGAAGTAACCAAAACGTTGTATTTGGATTACCTCCCTTACACTGTTTTAAATTATCTTTATTGTTCATTAACCATTACTTTATACATAATTTAAAAGCAGTGTAAGGGAGATAATTTCAATGATGCATTTGATTTATCTCCCTTACACTGCTTTAAATTATGTTTTGTACTAAAGTATTTGTCCATTAACCAGGACAACCTTGTTTTTCCCCCTTTTTTGCCCCTAATTCCTAAACGATTTGATCCATAACCCCCCAAAGCAAATCCTAACCATCCCTTTGTGGTATGGAAACTTGTAGTATAATTTCAGAGAGATCCATACACCGTTCCACAGTTATTGTCTGGAAACTAGAAAATGCTTATTTTTGGCCCCTTTTTGGCCCCTAATTCCTTAACTGTTGGTACCATAACCCCCAAAACCAATCCCAACCTTCCTTTTGTGGTATTTAACCTTATGGTCAAATTTCAAAAAGATCCAATCACTTAAACTAAAGTTAGAGTGCGAAAACCAATGTGTATTCGGACGACGACGCCGGACGACGACGCAAACGTCATACCAATATACGACCACAAAATTTTTTTGCGGTCGTATAAAAAGACCATCAGACATCAGAGCAATCTCAGACTATGTGTTCAGAACAACCAAACCAAACTCATGCTTCAAAGCCATGCACTGTGTACATCTATCACTGATGATATCATTAATGCATTATGAAAAAAATAAATGGGGAATGTGTCCATGGGACACAGATGATGCTCCTGCTTGCATATAACGTTATAAAGGGACATAACTCAAGAACTGTAAAAGTGACGCTACCCAAATTTGAACTTGATTTGAGTTTTGTGGTAATACGCATTGTGTATAAGTTTCATAACATTTGGTTTAGGCAAACTTAAGTTAGAGAATTGAAAGGAAAAATCAGCAATTTATCCATTTGTAAAGGAACATAACTCTAGAACAGTACAAGTGAAGCCACCAAAATTCACACTTGGTCTGTGTTTTGTTGTAATAAGCAATGTGCATAAGTTTCATAACATTTTGTTGATGAAAACTTAAGTTTGAGAAGAGAAATGAAAAATTCAGCAATTTTTTTACCTGAATAAAAGGAGTAGGTTCGATAAGGGCCTAATATGGCCCCTACTTCTAGCTGAGATTTGAAATTAGGATTTATTGACCAATGTCACAAGGAATCATAGGTAATATGATGACTAGATTGGAAAAACGTTTTTTTGTTGACGATTTATGTTTTTGCGTTCTATTCATGACGTCACAAATAGCACTCATTTTGATTTTCCGTGAAAATTGGATGAATATGGGTAAATTTACGATGATTTTTTAGCGGTGAAACAAAGAGCACATGCGGCGATGACAAAGATACTTAAAAATGTTAAACCTAATGTCTGTTATGACATTTTACATATCTGACTTGAATATTTTGTTTGTCGATGCCTGGGCTCTATGTTTCATAGGTCTTAATTCGGTTGAAATTCGGACGATTTTATCCAATTTTGCAAAAATCTCTATTTTTAACCTATTTGGGATGTCAAAATCAATACTAAAAAAATAAAACTCTGGCAAAAATAGTTCTATATAACTTTTTCACAAGTCTTTTCATCAACTTAAAACACATTTTATCCTGAAACTTTGAACTTAATAATCGGGGCCAAATTTAGCCCTTACTGAGCTTACTCCTTTGTTCCCTATGACGTTTATTCAGATGATGAACTTTCAATGGAGTATTTACACTACAGCTCGGGTGGATTTTGCTTTGTCCACCGGCCCACCATGGGAGTGGGCACCGGGTGGGCAAAATTTGTACCTTGTCCACTCTGCCCACCTGTAGGAGTGGGCATTCAATTTCTTTTGTTTCATCTAAAGACTTGCAAGTACAATCACTTGAAAAAAGCAGATAAGCATTTGTAATCAATATTTTTACAAAAAAGAGATTATAGCTAGAGTGGGCACGGGTGGACTGCCCATGGTGGGCCGGTGGAAAAAGCAAAATCCAATCCACACGGGCTGTTGTGTATACTTCTTATATGTTTCATACAGCAAATCAAAACTATTTTTTAACCATTTCCAGATTTTTCTTAGAAAAACATCAATAAATTCAATGAAATGTGTTTATTCCATTTATAAAAATTCTTAGAAACCAAGTAAGTGAAGAAGCACAATAAACTTTGTTTATTATTATAGTAATCATATATTTAATTAACCGAAAAATTTAAGTCATCAAAAAGTTTACCTCTGCTTAAAAGTTCTGATCATGCCGTCATAAAACTTTGGAGCATGATTATTGTACTCAGACTCAGAAATCAACCAATCAAAATACTGGATTTGGTGTTTCAAGCACGAATTTTGTACTCCGAGTACCGAGTAAAGTTTTATGACCGAGGGCCCAGATCTTTAACATGTTTAATATCATAATGAACATGTGAACTGTTTGAAGTTGATGTGATCATACCTTTATGATAAGCTATCGTAAACCAAAACTTTAACCTGATTAAAGATGAGGAACAGATGGACACACAAATGGATAACATAATACCCCTTAATATCCTAGGCGGGGCAAAACAGCAAGAACTTTTACAGCTAGGGCAAATAATTATACATTGGTTCAATATTGAATTGATATTTTAATATTTTTCTGAAACTTTTTGATATTTCTAGCATTATGGCATTTATCCTTGCATTAATATACCACATAGCCATTAACAATACCAGGATGTAAGTTTAGATTGTTTTCTGTTGATGTAATTTGAGGCAGAGTTACTTCCCTTTGCCACCATTTTAGAGGACAATATTCAAAAACTCTTTCATAAATAAATCAAATCCAATTGTTATACTAATTGCTAGACTTAAGAAAAAATTGTTTTCTTCACAATTTTCATTCATGTAAGCATTGTATACTTCTTAACTTTCAAGACTACCATCTAGGAAGAATACTTTATCAGATTTTCTTGTTCCATATGTTTAAATTCTATAATAGTCAAATAAGAAAATCAAGAAGAAGCTTACCAAAATCAAGGGAAAAAACTCACAACTCAAATTACATCAATGGAAAACTATCTACAGCAACCAATATATTAAATGGATGTAAATCTTTAAAAAAAAAACTTGGACATTAACTTTTAACTTATGTCTTATGTCAATAAACCATGAAATATGGTTAACATGAACTTCTGGTAGAAAGTAGGACTATAACTTTGATGCAATGATTGATGATCGTAGGCCAAGCAGTTCTCCAGATGTGACTCTGGATGCGAAACTTGATGTTGTTGGTACTCCCATAATTCTTAATCAACTTTGTTGAGACAAACTAAAAACTATTTCTCATTAGTTTATTATTTATCTATAATTATTACTTTAAAACAAAAATAATCGATTTTTTTTACTTTGAATGCATATTCATTTCCACAATTGTGCATTAAAAACAAATAAAGGTGTATTTTGAACTGAAATGCTGATTTATTATAACATTATTAAGCATGGACTTACTTTCATGCAAAAAATGTACTTCTAACAGAAAACAACAAAATTAATATGCTACCAAAAAAGTGTAAAAAAGAATTACTTAAAATATGAAATTCATTATTAATTTATTTGGTAAGATATTTCCAAAATCTTAACAAAAAATCTAGCAAACTGATATTTATAAATTGTTCATAGCAACAGATTTTGAAGAAAAACGTTCAATGGGGTTTGAAAGTCTGCAAAAATAAAGAAAACTTTAAGGGTACAACTACTAAATCTAAAGGATAAAAAAATACCATTCTTATGATTTACCTTTCATATTTAGTGGTTGTCCCAAGTAGGAGTTTTCTGAGATATAAAAACAAAGGATCATACTTGTACAGAATAGAACAGGGTTTAATTTAATTTTGTATTTTGTAACCAATTTGCAACATTTATTCTAAATAATAAACATACATGACATATGGGTGATTGATATACAAAAATTTTAAAAAAAGGAAGTACTTTTGATTTCTTTTAAATATTAAATTCCCCTTTTACATTTTTCAGAATAGCCCTTATTGAAGAATATATTTACATTATAAATATGCATAACTACCAAATGTTCAATTCCCTAATTCGTTTCGCTAAGCTTTAGGCAATTTACACATGGCTGCTTCCAAACTCAAACCTGATTCAAACAGAATATATTCTTTCAACATGTAACACAAAAATTCCTTTTTTGTAATTCGAACCTTGTCAAGATTACTCAAATAACTTATATAAATGCACTTCTTCCAATTTCTGCAAATCCTTTCGCACTTCAACATAACAAATTCGATTTCAATCTATTTTGGGAATTTATGCCTCGTTATCTTGCACAAATAACATTTCGTTTTTTCCAAGTCCTGCTTCAGCAAAAGTTGGAGGTTCGGGTTCACCGTCTTTAGGTTCACATGGTAGAGTCCGTCGTGGGAAGTTTGTAACTATATGAAAGTCATCAGGACAGTCTTCATGACAGAAAGCGAAGTGATATAAATCCTGCAATAGAAATTGTGACATTTATTAAAGTATCAATTTCTTTACAACAATGATTAATGATGATGATGATCATAACGATGATGATGATGATGATGACAATGATGATGATAATGAGGGTAATGTATGGCTGTTTACCATCAAGTGTCAAATCAAATGCATATTTAGGAAAAGAACATGTAATCTGATAGGAATACAAACCAGGCTTTGTACTAGACTGAGACAGATTTTTAATGTGTTACTTTACAAGATAAAAGTTCGCAAGAAGAAATGTCCCCCTACCCATACAAATATATTCTGACTCCAGGTCGACTGGTCTTTGTTCTTATTCCTAAATGTAGCATGCATAGCAGAAGCAAATACCAGTTTACAAGAGTTTACATTTGTCCAAGCTGTTGATTGAACACAAGATATCCCAAACTGGAGGCGAGCAGGCAACCAGGGGACCACGGAGGCATTGTAGATTTAAGAAAAATAAAATTTTTGTGATCATACTTAATTTTATGGTGTTGACTAGATCATACTTGATTTTATTGTGTTGATGAGATCATACTTGATTTTATTGTGTTAACTAGATCATACTTGATTTTGTTGTGTTGACTAGATCATACTTGATTTTGTTGTGTTGACTAGATCATACTTGATTTAATTGTGTTGACTAGATCATACTTGATTTTATTGTGTTGACTAGATCATACTTGATTTTATTGTGTTGACTTGATCATACTTGATAGTATGATTTAGACTAAATCATTATACAAGCCTGTATATTGTTATTTTTTTTGTTGAACACTACTATTCGTTGATTGCCTTTACCTACAAAATCCACTAAAATCAGTACCTCACATATAATTAAGAATACATAGTCCTCTACTTAAACAGTGAGGGGGCATTTTTTTCTACATTAGGAACTAGAAATATCCATCAGCATAGAAAAATATGTATAAAACAATATGGAAGTCATGTGAGCCTCAAACTTTCTTCAGCCCATCTTAAAAAAATTTGTTTATTCAACTCATCCATATAATTACCTTTTCTTCTAGTAACTTTCATAAATTACTAGTCATCTGTTTTCTAAGTATATAATTAAATTATTGTGATTTTTTTAATCAATGAAAAGAATGTGACTGGTTAGCATTATTTCTTAATCAAATATTTACTCTAATCATGCATACATCAATTAAACATCTATCTAAGATATAAGAAGATGATACATTTCAAAAAATTCTTATTTAATAATTGCAAGCATTAGTTCCAGACTTTTGGCAGATCTTCTAATTATCTAAAAAAAAATTTACAATTTGTTCATGTATTGTATATGAATTTAGAACGATTCCTCATTATATGTTACACACACAATTGTGGGCTGATCTATCTATGAACCACCTATTTACCGGCAATCACTAAGGCAGATAAAATATGTATTACCTTTTCCAATAAAAACAATAATTTTTTTACCTAAGCAGTTGATTGCAATTGCAATACAATGGATTTTGCCTTCGTGTACTGCAAATTTTGAAGTCTCTGCTATACAGAAGTGGGTAATAGGGTGTTTATTATATTGCTATGTCTCTGAAAACAGAGAGACAGTATCTTTTATCCGCAAAATTTTCGTATTCAAGAATTTAACAGAATGTACATAATTTGTAAAGACACTATCATCTTTTTTGACTCGATCTAATGTTTTTTCATACCTTTAAAGACTGAGATTTTAAAAATCGTCTCTCTACTCTAGCTCCATGGGGAAGTTTTAATACAATTTTTACGGTATCTGGGTCAGTAGAATTTGGCTCTGCAGGTATTTCATTCTTTAATACTACTTTTCTATTTTCTTTTTCCTAAATATAAAATTGCAAATAAATTAATTTTCATTGCATGGTCACAACATATTGACATTTTAATATACACAACAGCCCTTGTGGATTTTGCTTTTTCCACCTGCCTGCAGTGGACAGCCCATCTGTGCCTAATCTATCTATATTCTTTTTTTGTAAAAATATTGATTACAAATGCTTATCTGCTTTTTTCAATTGATTGTACTTGCAAGTCTTTTGATTCAACAATAGAAATTGCATGCCCACTCCTATGGGTGGGCAGAGTGGACAAGCTAGAAATTTTGCCCACTCAGTGCTCACTCCCATTGTGGGCAGATGGACAAAGCAAAATCCACCTGAGCTGTAGTATATGGCAGTGTTCTCCCCAGGCCCTTAAAGGACCGCGGGCCCGCGATGTATAATTTTTTACCGTGGTGGTATCGTTCTTACCGCGATGTATAATTTTTCTCCGTGGTGCTAAAATTTTCAGTTAAAAAATCGTAAATCGGTAAAGTTTTAAAATACTTGTTAAATCTTTTCCGTGCGGTATAAAATTCCAGGTGAAATTTGACCAGTTCAAACCAGTTCAACACAGATTGTTTACACCACGTGATCGATTTACCTTATGAGGTTAACCTTGTTGATTGGATTTAATCGATGTAATTAACACTTGTAACATGATTCTTTTGTGTTTTAATTAAGAGTTCATAACTTTATGATCACAGATAACTATTTTATGGCTTCACTCTCCACCCAAGCACTGACCTGTGACAAGTCGGCAAATACTTTGTACACAAACAGTGTCTTGACCCGATAGGATCATTTTTTGTACATCATAATGGTGGCTCATTACGTATAATGGACAACTATACATTTCCCAATTCTTATATTACAGTATTATATGTCTCTGATTAAACCATGGCCAATATTATCTTTTATTATGACATTGTTATTGCATGAAAGTCGGGTTTCAAACTGTCTGTACATATCACATGACCCAGTTAGTTCACGTAGAATATTCAAGTTTATTTACAATTAATTGCAATCTATTATATTTTATAAATAAAATGCATGACTGTACCTTCAAACTGGATATCTATATCCATAATTAATGAATAACAGAAGTAATCTTGCAAATTTTATCCATAAGCACATGTTAAATCTACTTATATCTACTTCCTGTCATTTAGGCGGGAAAATAGGGAGACTTAGTTGTTGACATTGAATATGGTTACTTATAGATCTATAGACCAAAGATAAATTTATAGATTTAGGAATTCTTTTTAAATGGTTCATGACAAATAAAGATTTAGATTTTAGGGCAGTATTAAGTCTGTATCTATGTTTGATTATCACCAAAGACAAGAAAGGTTAATATTTACATGAAATCTATGGCAAAATGTTCTAAAATTTATGAAAAATTTCTTTTTATTAAAATCTAAGACAGAAACTGGTTCAAATAATAAAACAATATTTGCAATTGTTCTTGTTTATTTTAAATCTTTTTATGACAGGAATCCTTTCACATACAACAACTTTTTTTCTAGAAACTAGAAAAGTTTTTTAAATTGAACATTTTTGTTCTCTTTTGAATGATATTTTATTTTTATTGATTTTGGATTTTATAAAAGATTTAATTACTTTAAATTCAGATGAATATTTTATTATGAGTCATAATTTATTTATTTTAAAAAAATATTAAAGTATACAAACTGTTTTTTTTATTTACTTCTTTTTTACCAATAATTTTCTGAATCAATGTCTACATAACACAGTACCACAGTGTTAAAACAAAACAAGAGACATAAAAACTACAGTAACTAGAGCTAAGCGAGGCGACGCGACACAACTGATTGCATGAAATATTTCACCAAGAAGTCCACATGCGTTACCCTGGTGCTATCCAAAAATCCTGGGGAGAACACTGTATGGTACATGTATGAACTGTGGATTAATTATTATTCATTGGGTACCAGTTTTCATGTATTTCATAGGTTTAGATGAATCATGAATTAAACATTTCAACAAAGATAAAACTTCTCATAGGCTTGTATGCAATACCACAAATTCAAGTATCCACGAAAAAATACAATTCTTCTTCAATCCACGAAAATTTGTACCCATAAAAATAAATGAATTCACAGTATGCTACAAGCATTTCCTTGCATCTGATGGTATCATTTGTTGTTCTTTCTAATGTATTGCAAAGATTAGTACATGGCCATCAAATATGGATATCATCAAGACTTTTTACATTTGTCATTTCAGGGCCTTTTATAGCTGACTATGCGATATGGGCTTTGCTCATTGTTGAAGGCCGTACGGTGACCTAACATTGTTTATATAATTTCTGTGTCATTTGGTCTATTGTGGAGAGTTGTCTCATTGGCAATCATACCACATCTACATTTTATATGCTATACATCATTTTTTATAAGGTGGTTTACTTTCAGCAAAGGAAAAATAAATATCGTGAATTTAGCTTGGGAAATTTAAATTGACAAATCCCAGAAAGTTTTGTAAAGTAAAGAATCAAAATATGTATTATGTCAAAATAATTATGACCCAGTTCTTATTTGTTGTCACACTTACCAATCAATCACTGTCAAGCTGCTAAATTAATATGAAGGTAGTTCAATAATACTGAAGAATTGTGTGACAAAAATTATAAGTTAATTCAACATATTGAAAAATTAGTAGTATCAGCAAAATAACCTGTATTAATCTTAGTCTCTCTAATTCTTCTTCTTCCTTTTGTTGCTCTATCTGCCTAACTTCCTCTTCTTCTTCCTGTCTTTTTCTGGCCTGAAAAGTTGATATAACACATAATTAAAAGTAATTTATAAATAAAGATTTTTCAGGAATTATGAAAAATAAAAAAGTTCCTACAAAGATTATTGAAGCCTGATATCTATTAAAGATTTCTTTTTAAATGCGTTAAAATCATGACATTTTGATTGGTTGATTTGCCATCATATGTCAAAATAGTGGCCTACCCAAACTTAGTTGGAAAGATTCCATTGAAAGACTACACTATAACTTTGTGAAAAATTATGCAATTTAACTAACCTCCCTTTTATAGGTTACTTTTTGGGTTTTGCTCAATGTTGAAAGCATATTGATGTTTCCATTCTTGTCATTTGGTCTGATCATGGTGGATAGTTCTCTCATTGGCAATCATACCACATCTCCTAATTTTTATACATATTACTTTCTTTTTTTCATTTTAAGGCGAAGTGTACGTAATATAACTACTCCACAGAATTTTTTTATATTTTACATGTTGATTCTGCTTGTAAAATTACATCAGAATATAAAATAAAAAAAGGGGGTAACTGTTCTCGTTTTTCAGATACAAGCTGTTTAAACTAACAGCATGATACGCCAGAAATACAAAGGATATATAGGGAAAATCATAAAAAACCTCAGATATTTTTACTTAATCATGATTTTCTAATTCGTTGGTCAACGGATTTTTTTTAAAATTCGAAATGCTATTCAAAAACAAATGACGAATCCATTGGTGCAAAGAAAGTCCTTAGCAACCGTGCTAGTTTTCAAGCTATATTCTCTTGAAGTTTGATTTAAAATTAAAAAATATTCGGCGACGTTATTGATGTCTGCTGTAACGTCACCACAAATTCTACTCTATAACGCTAGTATACCAATTGTACTGTACAGTATTGTCATACAAATCGTGAGTGTGTGCAACACATTTTCCTAAGTATTGGAAATGCTAAAAAAAATAAAAGCGTAATCGGTTGACATGGTTGATAATGATACAAACTGAAAAATGTTTAAGGATATCTCTGCTGCCAAAATAATGCAAATTGGCAAATAAATATACAGGAAGTGTTAGAAAGTTACTGTATAGACTTTAACTCCATCTTTTCTTGATTAGACATGGTTCCACATCTTTTTTTTTAAATATTTGTATTGTTCTAATAATTTTAAATAAAATATCCAGTTATCCAGATTAGTACAGAATGATTCTATACATATTTGAAAAATTCGGTTATGATATTGGGATCGTTTCTTTTCATCCTCACCATTTCCGGCACTATTCGAGGTATTGAGTACATAACCCATTCTATTTGTCAAGTTCACACACGTGCACGTGATTCTACAATTTTACTTGAAAATTTCCTGTCTCGATAGCTTTCCCTTTTCTTTCACTACACGACAAGGCATTATACATGGTATAATGTTTGCTGGAGATTCATTAACAAACGAAATAATTTCTTGTACCATTATTTCTTAAATTTCCACATGTACGACTCATAAAAAATAAGAAATCTGCAAATGCATATTATCTTGAGAATGGCTGTAATAAGGTCAAAAGAAGAACCCGTATATGAATTTCAGCAAAATAAATCAGATCGGAGTTTTTATATAACTTCCCAATGCATAGATCACTGCCTGTGTTACGCCTTAGCATTGTTTATATTGTAATGCTAAAGCCATATTGTTAAGTCTAAGTCTAAAGCTTTGTGTATTATAGTTATATGCTATAAATGTGCTGGTGTCAGGATATAAATGTACTGGTGTCATGATATAAACGTACTGGTGTCATGAAATAAATGTATGCTATACGAAATAAATTAATGTATGCTATACGAAATAAATGTATGCTATACGAATGTACGTATGCAATGCTATACGAAGGTACCTATGTAATGATATACTAATGTACGTATGTAATGCTATACGAATGTACGTATGTAATGCTATACGAATGTACCAAGGGCGATGTTATGAGAATGTAATCATCCAGTATGATGCTAAAACATGTTTCTAGTGTAAGTTCATTAGATTGTATCCAGTATAATGTAAGGAGACCACTTCTAAGCAAGGATCGAAGCTCATAAACTCAGCAATAAAATCAGGACCTCTAGAAAGTTCAGAGAGCCGACAACCTTGCTTCAGAAGTTGGCAAGGAGACTGTTCATAATGTAATGCTATACAAGTTTACCTTGTGTATTGTGTCTGTATCTAATGCAAATAAATTGGGTTTTTTAATGTGATATTAAAATAAGGAGATGTGGTATCATTGCAAATTGGACAACTTTTTGCCACAGTTTAAAGTAGATCTATCGGGTGTATTTTTTCTGAGCGTCCTTTCTGGTCATGTTGCAAAATTACTTATTTGTTTTACAAATAGTTTACCAAGTATCATTCAATATACAACAAAATATCTACAACTTGAAATTTAAAGATTGAACTATCAATATTTTAATTTTTTTCAAGAAAAGTAAGCCCGTGACCCCCCTTATATATATATAAACAAACAAGTCTAAATTGAAAACAACGTTCAAACCTATGATTGCGTTGGATAAAAACCGCAATTTGTATACGTGTGCATGCAAAACAAATTTATATATATATATATATCAGAAGTATTAATTAACGAAATTATCTCTTCAAATTTTAGACAATTATATCATTTAATGTTTCTTCAATAGGGAAAACTTAAATTTCCCCTATATGAACAAAATAAAATACTCTAAATGTGGTTAATTTCAATGTAATGTTACGAAAATGTGGTTAATTTCAATGTAATGTTACGAAAAAACAAGGTCCGCGATCCCTAGTTTTTATATTGAAATTTGAAATTTGAAATTACTTTGACCGAAAAGTCTTTTACAGAAGCTTACGAAACATTTATTGCCGAAAATTTTGACACCCCAGCTGCCTTATTGAATGAAGTGGATATAAGCAATTATAATAGGCAACCATAAGGCCATCAACCATGAGAAAAATCTCTAACGTTTAATCGGTTATAAAAGGACCCGACATAGTAATATTATTTTCTTCACCCTCTCCCTTCTTCCCTATACCTTATACTCTATAATTCTATAATACTAGTAATCTTCAATATTGAGACTTGAGAAGAAAAAATTACTTCAAAATTGTATTCTCTACTTCTAAATGATTCACAAAAGAACAATACAAAAATGCAAATTTCCCTTTCCTTTCGAAATTGGAATTTGATCAAGAAAAAAACTGCATGTTCTATTTTTATCATACATGTGTAGTTTCAGTTTCAACCATGGTTCTAAATTTAGATTTTACTTTCCCAAAAAATTGCAGACGGAATAGAAGACACCTGTTTATTTTCTGCTCCTTGAGAACTGAGATTTGGATGATATAGATGATTTACTTATTCTGAGATAAATGTCACAGTGCTTAATTCTTAGTTTCTGTGTAACGTTTTGTAGACGGAATCTGATTTTTTTGTTCGTTTTTTTTCTGTAAGCTTTGTCCTTCCACTTAATATGTATACATGTTAAAAATGTTTCACTTTTTTTTTTTACCCTTTAGTATCGTTTATACTTTTCACACAAATATAAATTATCCTAAAATTTTCAATTGCTTAAAAAACGGGACATGCCAACGCCTTTCTAGTTCAACATACATATTTACATGCAATTTACAGGTAATTATTCGTTACCTTCAAGATTACGCTACACTGACACTATGAATTTCATTCAAATACCATTGTGGGGTCAATTCTGGATTGATTTTAACGAGTATGATACGACTAGAAGCAGAATTGTCACTTACTAGTTTGTTTATTTTTAATTTCTGTTAAAATAAATACGAGCGGTATTATGTACCCCCTAAAACAAATAATGTTGCAGACTAACACACAATAGGATACTAAGATAGATCTAAGATTTCTGATTGGAGTCAACTAATTTCTTTGAAATTTTGACATAGCACAGGAATACTTGTTTGGGTTCATGATAGACCGCACAAAGTCATTTAAATGATGATTTTTCTTTCATGTGCCCATTTCCCGTTCTTGGAGTAGGGGGGATAACTTGCATAACTAACGACGCACGTTTTGTATCCCGAATTCCGCTAGAGGCGTGCAATTACGTATACTTCGCCTTAAAGTTTTATCTTTATACATAGTTTTAGAACCAATGATCATAAAACATCATTAACCTGAAAGAGAGGCAAAAGATACAAAAGGGATATTCAAACTCATAAGTCTAAAAGCAATCTGACAATGCCATGGCAAAATACGAAAAAAAACCAAAAATTCAAACAACAGAACACAAAACACAACATAAAAAACTAAAGACTGAGCAACACGAACCCCAACAAAAACCAGGAGTAATCTCAGGTGCTTGGGAACAGTTAACAGATCCTGCTCCACTAGTGGCAACAATTGTGTTGCTCATGTAAGTTCAAAACCAGTAATAAGTCTAATTCAGTATGTCACATTCAAGTAAAAGAGGACAGAATTGTGTTTACGACAATTGGAACATATCCAAAGTTACCTTTTCTTGGTCAGCTTTCAATGATTCTAAATAGGCTTCATCTTGTTGTTGTCTTAAAGTTTGGTTGAAATTACGTTCTTCTCTACAATTAATCAAATCAACAGTAAGACATAGTATTAAGTTACACATTATATCACTGTTCTCCCCAGGGCCTTTTAGCATCATGGTAATGTGATGCTATATTGCTTGAATGTGATGCTATCTGAAATGATTTCCGTATAGATAGTGTAAGGGATGTGATGCTTAAATTTCTAGAAACAAGATGGTATTTTATAATTTTCTGTTTACCATGATGCTATATGAAATTTGTAGGGAGAACACTGATTATACTAATCATGTAGATACATTTTACAGAGTTTTCAAGCACTGTGGATTCATTTATTTTCCTAGATACCAATTTTTCGTGAATCGGGGAAAAATTATATTTTCATTGATATCTAATTCGTTGTTTTGCCAGTCTGCATACAAACATATATATAGTTATTTGAACATTTAAACTCATGGTTTACCTATACACATGTAATTCACTAAAACTTATATCCCAAGAATAATAATGAATCCACAATACTAAAATTTATTAAAACTTTATTATTCAAGGCCAGGCCTGCTTGAATTTGATAAACAGCTAAGCCATCAAAAGTTCTCGGCAGTGCTGTGGAGAGACCGTAGATCATATGTAAACAGCTTGCTGTTAGGTGAGAACCAAGGCTCCATGTTGAAGGCCGTACTTTGACCTATAATTGTTTACTTTTTACACATTGTGACTTTGATGGATATATAGTTGTCTCATTGGCACTCATACCACATCTTCTTATTTATATCTACCACTGTATCGAGTGTCATACTATATTTTTCCACTTGAGACAGTAAAATCTTTATATTGTCAAGTGTGGAGAAATATCATACTGCTCGAGATTCAGTGGTGGAATCTGTTTCTCTAACGATATTCAGCCAAACTTAATCTTTCTATTTCAAAGATTTTTCTTTTTCATGTAATCACAATAGGAAATTTAGAGGAGAGCAAGAAAATTTGACGTCATAAATGAATTTTAGCCAATGAAGAAATGAGATCAAAGGAACCTAACATTGTTTATACAAAATATAATCAACCCGTCTGTGATGGTATAAATCAGCTAAGAATTAGAGAAACATATTTGTATACTGTGGATTCATAATAATTCATGGAGAACTAGTTTTAAGGGATATCATGGATATATGTGAAACAACAAATATCAGTGTTAAAAAACACAAATTCACAACCACTTTTACTCAGAATTTGTCGGAGTCAAGTCTCCATGAATCAGAAATATAAATAACTTTCAGAAGTGGATAAACAACTTATCGCTATTTGTCCTCCATAACTAGCCATCACAGATGTTCCTGGAAAATGTTGACGTTATAAGAGAAAATGTTCAAACCAACAATGCAAAAATGATTGTTGAATGACATCAATAGTTCAAGTGTCACAAAATGTCTTATCTAATTTAGCAGATTCCAAAATAGCCATATGGTTTATGAGTTCCCTATCAATTAAAAGTTAAAGTTGAAATTTTGTTGTTGGGTTGCTGTTGCATTGATGTTTACCCCACATTTGCTGTTAGGAAGGGTGAAAATGTAACCATCTAGACATGACATTTAAGACTTTTTTTTACTTTGTGTATATGTTATAAATTACCTACTTAACCTCAAATTTAAAAAAAAACCAAGGAAACTGCGAGCTACTGCTCCCTGATGATACCCACGCCCAAATACTTGATGGTAAACAGGAAGTTGTTGAGTGATGAATCTGAAAACGCATCACAAGGTATAGCTGACTTATATAAACCCTGAAACCAAATTTCAGAAATCCTTGTAATGTAGTTCCTGAGAAAGATGTGACGAAAATTTTCAACTTAGATGTCATGTGTAAAATGATGTAAGTGTTTGGTAACAGGAAGTTGTTGAGTTATGAATCTGAAAACACATCACATGATATAGCTGACAAGATGCAACAAAAAATATTCATGGGATGGACGGACGGCCTGAAGGATGGACTGACAGATGGATAGAGGGACAGATGGACAGACAGAGGTAAAACAGTATACCCCCACTTTTTTAAAGCAGGGGTATAATAAAAATCAACATAAACAACTGTTAACTAGTGATAATATAGACACCATTAAAAATTTCAATTCTGAATCCAATGAAAGAATTGTTCAAAATGGAGTTAATTGTTCAAAATGAAGTTATGATTTATAAATTTTTTTTTATCAGAGTTAGGCTCTTAATGACTCACTAACAATTGTATTACCTATCTGCCCTTGCTGCTACAAGACTAGTTTCATTCTCGTTCATAAGTCTCTCTAATCGCTGTGTTAATTCTGCTGGACCTAAAATAAAACATTATTTATTATTATTGTGTTACTTCTTATGTACCTTTTTTCCTATTTATAACTGTACTGAAATTTTAGGCCATATAGAATCAATGTTCTGGTTCTTGCAGGGTTTTAAAATAATGATGGACAATTACAATTATCTTATGCATTTATTTGAAAACTATTTCAAAATTTCAGATGTGGAAAAAAGGCCTAATTCTAAAAGTGAAGTTTATCATTTATAAAAACTTTGATTTTTCAATGTATCACAAAATTTCCTCTTGATTCAATTTTCAGTATTTTAAATCTGTATTTGAAAGGAACGGCCATATTACATTTGAGAAATCTAACATATCATACCTACATTTTGTAAGCATTTTATGTTTAATGTATTATGCTTCCTTCTCTGCACCTTTGTCTATTGGTTTTAGAGAAAAAAGTATCTATCTATATACAAAAAATTAAAACTAGAACAAAATTAAAGAACCTTAGTGAGCACGCTCACATACCCCACGTCTCTACATTTTCATTGGAGAAATAAAATAAGTGTAAGAAAAAAAAAATTGTATAAGAAAAAAAAATTGAATCATAATTTCCTGTCAATATGCACATCTACATAGTATGTCCTTATTATCTACACAGTTTCATGAAATTCTGTTGTGTGGTTTGAGAGGAGTTGCGATGACAAGAAATAGGACTGACGGACTGACGGACGGGTCAAAAACATTATACCCTTCGCAACTCGTTGCGTGGGGTATAATAAACAGACAGACAAACAAACACAAAGATCAGCCTTAAACCCTCACTCTATTAAGCACAGGTTAAACCTTAATGAATACTTTTTTGTTAGATTTTATCCATTTTTTTAAGTATGCAAAAAGCCAAACAATTCAGGAATTATCTTGTTACTCCAGAACATACAACATCATGTTGTTCCTATGATGTACAAAGTTATCAACAACATTTACAAAATTTTTTTTCATTCACACAACCTTGGACAAAAACAAAGGAAGCAAAAACAGAATGTGGTGGATTCAATTATTTTTGTGGATTGAGAAAAGCTTGTATACGCATGGATATTTGATTTTGTGATTTGGTAAAAGTCTGTATACAAGCCGATTAAAAAATTTAACATTTCAATTCATGATACTCAAAATTGACAACAAGACTTCAAATGGTCTGCAATTTTATTTGCTATGGTCTACATGTTTCACCTGCAGGGCAGGCGTCATCAGGACAATTTTAATACAGAAATTAATTACTGAAGTACTCAAAGTGGTACATTGAATTTGACGTTGTCATGGTGAGAGAACAATGAAAAGTGAAAGTAGCAATAAAGAGTTATAAATAGATAAGATAAATATAGAAAAATAAAGTTTGTTTACAATGTAAATGGAGTTCGTTTTACTTTTATATGATAAATGACATTGTTCTAATGGCTGGGTATCTAAATGGACGATCTTCCTATGGTTCCTACCACTTCGCAAGGCTTCTCTTCCAACCTGGCCATTGTTGGATGTTACTACTTCCTGGTGCGTCGGCAACAAATTTCAATTCATGGTTTACCTATACTAAGGAAATTCGCTTGAAATTGGTACTCCACAACTAATTTTGAATCCGGAGTATGTCATTTACTATTGCTTTTGATGAAAATGACTGAAACTTACCAATAGGACCTTCTATTCTAGCTACAACTGTCATTTTATTTTGACGTAAAACTATTAAAGCTAAAAATGGATATGTATTCTCTCTTAATGCCCGAGACACTGAAATAGAGAAAAAATATTTTCCTGTAGGAAATATTGTTAACATATTAGAATGGTATCAAATATATTTACATAGCATGGGCAATGTATCCACATTTTTTTTTTCAATTCGAGGCTTTTTAGACCTGACTTATCAAATAGACACCTATATATTGAATAGACTGTGCTGAACTCTAGATGTCCTTAGGTTTTTAGTGTTGTTTTTAGAGTATTTGTATAGCTATCTCATTGAGGTAAACAAAACTTCTCCTTTTATTCTTATAAATAAATGACTCTTTCCGATGGGTCATTTTTTTTAAACCAAGTGCTCCACAGAATAGTGTTCTTTAAACACAGATTAATTGTCCAATAATAAATAAATCCAAGATCTTTAGATTTTCTTAAATTGTAAAAAGTGCATATAATGGTGTTACAAATGGAACTGTTTTCATTGTGTTGCAAGCAACAGTCTTTCTCAGTCTATGTAATACATAGTAAGTTTCAAAACACATTTACTTTCTGAAAAAAATCCTTCATAAAAATATTTCTCCTTGTTTTAAGTTTCACTTTGTAATTGATTTAGAGTTTGCAATATGGTTATGGGGGAGTGTTGAGCAAAAACAAGATAACCCCTCTACATTCTTTATGAGCCTATCCAAAGTCAAGAGCCTATTATTCAGTACTTGACGTTAGTGCTGTCTACCGTATATATTTTTTGTTTATAGTTTTAGCTTTAATCAGGCCGATAGTTTTCTCATTTGAATCTGGCCCTTTTATAGCTTATTATATGGTATAGGTTTTGCTTATATTTGGAGGCCCTACAGTGACATATAGTTGTTAACATCCATGTCCTTTGGTTTCATTGGCAATCATGTAACATCTCCTTATTTTATAATCTGTCTAAGTAGTTCATCTACTGTATCACTAGCCTGTCAACACTGAGGTTTAAGTTCAAACCTCAAACGTGGCATGTGGGTTGACTGCAATCTTATTTGATTAGGATAACAATTTTTCCTGCAGATGATCTGTGGTTCTCTCTGGACACTTAAGCTTTCTCCACCAATAAAGATTGGCCTCCACGAAATAGCCAATAATGCTGAAAGTGGTGTTAAAACACAAAAAAAAACAACCAAAATCCTTTATTTTATATGCTACATACCCCTGTATCCTTCAGGACTGTTAGTATTACATGACCAAAATAACATACTGCTATTTATAAAATCTATCACATCATTATTCCCTAATGTATTTCTGAAAATAAATAAAAGAACAGAGTTCCAATGTCCCCCGCATTGCACATATTTTATCTATCCAAGGTACAAGGACAACACATTTTTTGTTTGTTCTTCAAAACAATTTATAAATATCTTATAGAAATGAAGACTTCAGAGCAAATGCAATGCGATTTCCGTTATAATTATAATATTTACAAGGGGGATGACTTGCTAAAAATATTTGATCAGCTTTTATTTTCAAAAGTATAAAAGACATTGCTGATATAAACCTATGATATAGATTTCATAAAATTTTAGCAAGAATTGTACACATCAGAGTGCTAACAATGCAATTTTCCATGTAATCAATATTTCCAAGGGCCATAACTCTTTAAAAAATAAGTGATCGGGACAGATTTTCCAATTTGTCTGAGACATTGCTGATATAAACCTATAATATAAATTTTCTAAAAATCTGGCAAGAATTGTATACATGAGAGCGCTAACAATGCAATTTTCCATATAATCAATGTTTCCAAGGGGCACAACTCTTTTAAAAATAATTGATCGGCACTGATTTTCGAAATCATCCAAGACATTGCTAATAAAAACCTATGACATAAGTTTCATTAAAATCTGGCAAAAATTGTACACATGAGAGCGCTAATGATGCAATTTTCCATAAAATCAATGTTTCAAAGGGGCTTTACTTTTTTTTTAAATAAGTGATCGGCACTGATTTTCAAAATCATCTAATACATTGCTATCATAAAGCTATGATATAAGTTTCATAAAAATCTGGCAAGAATTGTACACATGAGAGTGTTAACAAGACGGGACGGACAGAAGCCTGGTATTTCTATGCCCCACGCAACACGTTGCGGGAGGGGGACAATAATATAGGTCAAATGATATTCTGGAAAATGAATGCTAAAATAAAATCTATTTCTATTGATAAAACTGTTGTGTATCTGAAAATATAGAAGACCATATACTAAAACAAATTGCTTCACAGGCTAGTTTCTTTAATTTTTATGAGCCAGAAAGTAATTTTTCAACAACAAAAAACTACCATGTACCTGGCTTGAAACAGTTTTATCTGATAAAATATACCAAAAATTTTGTAATACTCAATTTCACTTCAAACTATATCTTATTACACAAAGAAATAAATGTTATAACAAATGTAATACCTTATAATATGGTTTTTATTTTGACATTGTCTCAAGATTAAAATTGTTAACAATTAACAATACAGAAAGCAGAAAATCAATAAATTATGTTAAACAGAAGATTTTATGAATACCTGGAGAAAATAAGGCTGATTTTATGCCAAAAATACAATACAGAAACAAAAAAGGTTTTTCATAATACCAAAGCATATGCAGAAACAAAACCATTTACAGTTTTTTAGACGATCCAGGATTTTTTTAAAGAGAGTGAGCCATACAAATTTTTTGGACGAATTCGTACAAGTATGCAAATACAATCTTGATAGTCAAAATCATTAACCTGAATAATTGTAAACCAATTTTCCCTATGTGTATTTGATAACAAACCTGCAAAAATCTGGTGTATCCTGATGGTTATCACCATGGAGATATACCAACAAAAATCGTAGCTCACTCTTGGCATCATTTAAAGCCTGAAAAAGAGAAGAAATACACTACAGCTCAGCTGAATTTTCTCCGTATTTTTCTGACGAATTACAAATCAGAGCTTCCTGAAATGTTGAAATAATCTTCATATGATCATGCTTTATTTGGTGAGACATTTTTATATATCCATTTCTCATTAATTTCTTATTTTTTCATACTTAAAACAGGGGTATCTCAGTCAGTAATAGTTGATTAATGATATACTGTTGATTCGTTATTATTCGTTGGATACCAATTTTGTTTCGTGGGTACAGGTGAATCATGAATTCAAATGTTCAACGAATTACAAATTTTTTATAAGCTTTGTATGCAGGGATTGGCAAAACCACGAAATCAAATACATGTATCTTCGAAAATACAAGTTTTCCTTAATCCACGAAAATTGATACCAACGAAAATAAATGACTCCAAAGTAAACGAGAAGTTTTACGTATTCGAATTTTGATGTCAAATTAGTTTTTTTCTCCTGTAGTTGAAGACAGACTTATAGGCAAAAGAAGCTTTCCTTCTCATTCCCATTACACATAACAATGGATGGAGACAAAGGTAACTATAAAACTAAAATGTTTTGACTGAGAAGCTGACAATAAGTCTTATATTATAACTTGAATTAATTCCTATTAAAACTAGAGGCTCGCAAGAGCCTGTGTCGCTCACCTGACTCTACTTTGGTTTTAGAAATCATTGTAAAGATAGATAAAATTCATAACAGATACCCAAATAATGATTGAGGCCAAATTTGGTTTAATATTGGTCCTGTTATTTAATAAAATATCCTGGTGGCCATCTTGAACAGTAAATCGGCAACAAAGTAGCAACACTTGGTCAGCACCTAATAAGGAACATTCATGCCATGTTTGGTTTCATTCCATTTAGTGGTACTCTAAAAGAAGACATTTGTATGTATTTCCTGTAGGGTCCTATGTTAAACTAAGTCCCCCCCCCCCCCAGGCGGCCATCTTGGATGATGGATCAGCTGCAAGTAACAACACTTGGTCAGCACCTCATAAGGAACATTCATGCCATGTTTGGTTCCATTCCATTCAGTGGTTTTCTAAAAGAAGACATCTGTATGTATTTCCCGTAGGGTCCTATGTTAAACTAAGTCCCTCGCTGTCGGCCATCTTGGATGATGGACCGACTGCAAGTAACAACACTTGGTAAGCACCTCATAAGGAACATTCATGCCATGTTTGGTTTCATTCCATTCAGTAGCTCTCCAAAAGAAGACATTTGTATGTATTTCCCATAAGGTCCTATGTTAAACTAATTCCATCCCCCGCTGGCGGCCATCTTGGATGATGAACCGACTGCAAAGCAACAACACTTGGTAAGCACCTCATAAGGAACATTCATGCCATGTTAAGTTTCATTCCATTCAGTGGTTCTCTAAAAGAAGACATTTGTATGTATTTCCCTTAGGGTCCTATGTTAAACAAATTCACCCACTGTCAGCCATCTTGGATGATGGATCGGCTTCAAAGTAACAACACTTGGTCAGCACCTCATAAGGAACATTCATGCCATGTGTGGTTTCATTCGATTCACTGGTTCTCTAAAAGAAGACATTTGTATGTATTTCCCATCTAGGATCCTATGTTAAACTAAGTCCCCTGCTGGCGGCCATCTTGGATGATGAACCGACTGCAAAGTAACAACACTTGGTAAGCACCTCATAAGGAACAGTCATGCCATGTTTGGTTTCATTCCAGTCACTGGTTCTCTAAAAGAAGACATTTGTATGTATTTCCTGTAGGGTCCTATGTTAAACTAAGTCCCCTGCTGGCGGCCATCTTTGATGATGGATCAGCTACAAAGTAACAACACTTGGTCAGCTTCTCATAAGGAACATTCATGCCATGTTTGGTTTCATTCCATGCAGTGGTTCTCTAGAAGAAGTTCAAAATGTAAAAAGTTAACGACAACGACATTGATGACGATGGACGATGACGACGGACGCCAAGTGATGAGAAAAGCTCACTTGGCCCTTTGGGCCAGGTGAGCTAAAAATACAGAATCAGGTCCCTAAAAATTAGTTTTGATCCAAAAAATTGCTTCCAAAAATCTCAGAATCATTGACCACAAAAATTGACATTCATGACTTGGCTATATTTATTACCTGACTGTATGATCCCTGGTAAAATACTGGATGGTCCTGTCCATATAAATCATTATATGTCTGTATAAATCTAACCACATCCCCAACTGGGTCTACTACATCTGGTAATAAATAATGGAATTACAAAGCCATAATACCCGGTAAATATATTACTGAACACTGTGTCAATCAAAGTATATTTATGTGAATTATAAGACACTTATTTATCGTTTCATTGTACTAATATACATTTACTATGAATTCAGAAATTTTTGTGTGCATTTATTTTTTAGATTTTTTTAAGAATTGGCAGAAAGCTTGTTTTATTATTGAGATTTAAGTGAATGCTGCGTACAAATAAATTATAATGATAACAAAAAAGTCTGTAAACTGTTAACTCTCCTTCACATAATAATACAAATTACTGTAAATTCATTCATTATTTCGATGGTTGGAAAATCAACACAAAAGTCTAGTTATTGCAATTTAAGAAAATACTGCAAAAGGTATTTAATTTTAATTGTGAATCTTTTTTTTTTCACAATGATAAAAACATCACTAAAATTTCTGAATTTAAAGTATAATATTTTCGAAGATTCTAGTTATTCTATTTTGTTGTGCACAGTGATCATATACATGTACATCATGCATTCCCTTTTATTTATTCGGTTCACATAGCCTTTTTCTATGACCATCATACATATCATTTCATTATTAAACTACAAAAGTAGAAACTGCATTTAAAAAAATACTTACTGACAAACTTTCATGTATAAATATAAGAAGATGTGGTATGATTGCCAATGAAACAACTTTCCATGTTGCATGAATCGAAACAGATCTCATTTTTTTTTACTTAATCTTAAGCTTGTCCTTTATTCATGATATGTTCTATACCTTTCTTTTCATTGCATTTTTTTCTATTTTCCTCGACTGAAGATGTTTGTGGGAATGTAAAATCTCTTACTAATAATACTTACTTCTCCTTGGATCTTGTCTAAATAAACCCCCTTAAATAAAAGAAAATATACATTGACATTTCACCAATGAGGGAAGTACATCTGCAGTTATATTATCATGGGTTTTTTTATGCACTGATGCATAAACTGTAAACTTTGATTTTTTTTTTAATTTCAATTTTCACAATTGCTACTTTTGAAATTTTAAATCACGGTTTAAAACTTTGCATACCAATCACGACACAAAATGCTTTCTGTTCTTAAACCTTAAGAATAAAATTTATTTCATAGAATATAGAAATAGAGGTCGTATTACAGGTAAAGACAGAAATGATCACAGTGAGCTGAAAGGATGACCTGAGATAATTGAGATGCTTTCCGTCACATTTCTAATTCTAACAGTCCTGTAAAATTTGAACATCATAAATAATTTCTTTCATGAGATTGTTCTTATACACAAGAATAAACTCATTTCAGGAAAGTGTTACCTAATTCAACCAACATGGCAGCCTCCCTCGTCTGGGTTACTGCACATGAACGAAAAACAGAAAAACTAAATTGATAGATTTTGGATTCACTAGTATATAGATTTTCATATCAATTTTTCTATTGTAATAAAAGTCCTCTATTAGTTTAGTTTAATATTAAAGACTTCCATCATTTGGCTACTTACAAATAAATGTTAAAATATCTGTAAAAGTTGTGTAAACAAATCTAAACGGAAACGCCATTATAAAATATGTCCATTGAAATATTCCTTGTGGTCTTCTACTTGCTACTGTAAATACCCTGGAAATAAAAAAAAACAAATGTAAGAATCATTATAATGAATACTGGGTCTAATGTTTAATCTGGGAAAACATGGTTTATCTATTAGTTGACATTTTGGCTATGAACAAGCTTTTAGTAATTGTGAGTACTAACAGATTATTAGATCAGTGCTTTGTGTCTTTGAACGCTGATAAACCTGGTTAACCCAGCCTGTCCCAAGCAAGTAACCTGTATTCCAGTGGATGTCATTGTCAAATCAAATTATCTGAGGTTTCTCCCCTTATAAATTAAAGTTTATGAAAGTTTGTAGGAAAATGTGCTAATTTAATTAAAAATAAATTGAGAATGTGTCCATGGGACACAGATGATGCCCCTGCTTGCAAAAAAGTTATAAAGGGACATAACTAGAGAACTGTAAAAGTGATGCAACCCAAATTCGGTTATTTATGGAAATAAGCACTGTGTATAAGTTTCATAACATTTGGTTGAGGCAAACTAAAGTTAGAGAACAGAAACCAATTTTGGGACGTACGTACGTATGTAAGGACGGACAAGGGTAACACTTAATGCCCCCTTCGCCTTAGGTGGGGGCATAAAATTCTTGGTCAATCAATTTGATCAATGTGACAGAATACTACATTACACAAAACTAATTTATCATGCAGAACTTGAATTTCAAAATACATCGTTTTTAATAATTTGCTATATCTTTATTTTTCTCAATCCTTTGAGTCTGCGCAATATGCGGTAGTAGTCAACCATGGTTAGGGTGTGTCATTATTTTTGTGTGTCTCATGAAATATTTGTCTCATTTGTGTCTGCCAAATGACATTTCTTTTTCATTTAATTTTATGTCATTCTACATCAATTATTTATTGAAAAGATGGTGAAAAAGGGCACAAAATGGCAGACATTTGTCATCACTTAAATTACACTGAGTGCAAACTGACCTTTGGTCTGAAGGTTGAGTGTTAACTGGTGGTGTTCGAGGCTCAGGAGGAGGTTGACTATAAACTGAAGGAACTCCCTCTTGTTCATTAAACGTGTCCTGCACAGCAGTCTAAAATGTATAAACATTGTCTTGATTATGCCATAATTTGTCATTATGTGTTTTAGTTTTTTTTCCAGTTTGGAATTTGATGTTTGTATCTGAGTATCAATTCTCTCTGCTAAATTGATTTACAACCCGTGTTGACTTGGAATGGTTTAATTCAGAGCTTGACTTACGACCTGTATTGACTTGGAATGGTTTAATTCAAAGCTTGACTTACAGTACCTACAACTATATTTACATTAATAAAAATCTGTTCATATATCATGCATAAAAAAAAAACTTTTTACTCCTAAAAATATTACCCGAATTTTCATTTGGATGGAGATAAAAATACATAACGCAGTATTAAAATAATTTTGAAAACACCATAAAAGGTTAACAATTTTCCTGCACCTTTCACTGATATCTTGAACAATGCTTATTTGATTTGGTAATTACATACAATGATACAATATGTTTGTAAACATCATGGCTGAATTTGGTTCACAAAACAGTGAAGGCATTAGGATTATGTCACACATGAGGGTGAACCAAAAGAAAATATAATGCTGTGAAAATCATGATTGATTGATTGGTATTTAACACCACTTTCATTACTATTGTGCTATTTCGTGGTGGTCAGTTTTTATTGGTGGAGGAAGCCGGAGTGCTTGGTTGTTGATGCAGTCTTTTGTATTGCTTAATATATAGTTTTGGTAATTCCTGTTTTTCTTTTAATCTATTATGGAATACAAATTTGGCACTGCCAGTTAAAGATGAACCCCTTTTTGACTTAATGGATCTATTAGTTTGTGATAATTTCATTTAAAGATATCATTGAAATACAGGAGTTTAAACTAGTGTGGGTCTGAGATCGGTCTTTTCATTTTTGAATTACATTAGTCAAGCAGGGATTCAAATTAGTGTGGGTCCTAAGTCCAGGAGCAGTCTTTTCTAGGAGGGGACTTTTCATTCTTAAATTACAAAAGTCAAGGACCTACCATTCTATACAGATGCTTTATACACAACCACTGGTTTCTTTTGGAGGACCTTTCACTTAAAATTTCAAAGGTCCTGGACCTTTCATTATCTTAAGCAAATTTGAACCCCTGGTCAAGGGCCTCCCATTCTTTACACTGACGTTAAAACAGGACCTTTAGTAGACTTTCTAAAGGAGGACCATTTACTTAAAAATTCAAATGGTTCTTAACCTATCATTATTTAAAGAAAATTTGAACCCCTGAAATATAAATAGTTTTGTTCTTGTTGTCTTACTGTCAGTAACTGAAATAATAAAATTCTTTATTAAAAAAAATATAGCTCATTATTTAACATGGAGGATAAAGAAACAAACATAATAAATATTCCAAAAAACAAACAAAATTTACCAGTACCACCATACTATTTTAGGAAATGTGAAACATCATCCTATATGTGCCAACTTTCATGTCACAAATAAAATGAATAATCATAATTATGTACACAACAGCCCGTGTGGATTTTGCTTTTTCCACTGGCCCACCGTGGGCAGTCCACCCGTGCCCACTCTAGCTATAATCTTTTTTTTGTAAAAATATTGATTACAAATGCTTATCTGCTTTTTTCAAGTGATTGTACTTCATTGTACTTGCAAGTCTTTAGATGAAACAAAAGAAATTGAATGCCCACTCCTACAGGTGGGCAGAGTGGACAAGGTACAAATTTTGCCCACCCGGTGCCCACTCCCATGGTGGGCCGGTGGACAAAGCAAAATCTACCCGAGCTGTAGTGTACTAACATGACTAATACAAATATACATAAATTGAACATGAACCTGTAATTCAAGTAACACCCAAAATTAAGGCTAAACAAATCTGCAAAAGGTGATTCAAGAAAAATTCAAATTTGAATTTTGCAGTGAATACTTATGATTGATGATGACTCTAAAAATATCTCTCCAATGGTAGGACAAGGTAAGCGTCTCTTGCTATGCCATGCATCACACCACCAAGCAAATTCAAACTTAGTCAACCATATCACCTTTTATTCATAATACAAACCTCAATATTCCACTCATGCTGTTGTAAAATCTGTTGACATCTCTCTAGATCTTCTATTCCTGTCATGTCCTATAAATAAAACATAAGCAACCATTAATATCTATGACCCGCCTACAGAGTTTGCAAAGGCGTTGATTGGTTGGTTGGATGAAGGATCTTATTGACAATTACAATATAGTATACAATAGTCTGAAGAAAATTTATTGATCGATTTATAATATTAATTATATCATTAAAAATCCCCCAAAAATTTCAAAGGACTTTTGATTTTCTGATTTTCTAGTTTGACATGTGGTTTACTGGTTTTGGATGCTGGACCTGTGTCTTTTCCAAAGCCTGAGCTGTAAAAAAACATGTGTTCTACATCTTCCTGTTTATTCATTATGTATGAGAATCAAAATGAAATGGTTTTTGTACTGATCTAATGAGTCAAGCCTTAGCTTACTGCTGTTTACAGTATGTCTTTTGATGTGTTGTTTGTTACATTTGTACATTACTGTCCCATAATAGTTTGAGGGCTCACAAACACGTTATACACCGCTACATTCATAACATTCTGTCATACATTACTGATGCCTTTTATAGCTCACTTAAGATTTGACATTGGTACATTCCTGTAATATTGCATTAGAAAGTGAAACAAAAAACAGTATTTGTATTCTAATCAGCATGTTACTGTTGTAGATAATAAAAGCTTTTGCAGCGATCTCCATGGATGAAAATTTAACTGATGGAGGAATTTTATCCATAACAAAACACAGGGTATACGGTGTGGCGTGATCGAAAATATTTCATTCCCCCATTTCCATTTAAGGAATGGTGAACAGAATGATATATTGCTTATTATGTTTATTTCATTATAGAATAACCAATATAATAAAATTTTACATTAATTGTCATTTGTAACAATTCCAATGTCAAGCCTGCATGGCTACCCCTTAGTCAAGAATGACCACAAGCTGTCCTTGAGGTTCTGAAGTCGTTTTCTTGCTGTTTTGGTAATTGTAAATGGCTTAAAAATCTGTCAAATTCAAAAGTCATGAACCGGTATCGACGATTTGCAGCATCAACAACAAGAAGTTTCGTACCTGTTTTGTGAAACGTTGAAGAAAGATTTGGAGGGCAAACATTTACAACTCAAAAGGTTTTAATGACTTTAAATTGCAAATCTCGTAGTAATATACTGTGCAACATGCATCTTTTGATTCTGAATTCAAACCAGATGTATCAATTTGATAGTAAACTACAAAATGAATTCGGAATTACAATACGAAATTTCTTCAGATTGTCAAGTTGCAGTCATTTGGCAGTTAATCAGTTAATATTCATACATAAAAAATTTACTTTTAACAGTCAGGGGACTTACTTAAATGAGTGATTTTCTCAATCACTGATTCAAGTAACATTATGTACATAAAAGTTGGAAGTAAGAGTTGTCTTTCTTTAATAATCACCTATTTAAGTAGTACAAATTAATCACTAGACTAAGTGATTTAATTTTATTGTAGCTTTAAATATAGAATACTAATGATCCAGGAACTAATTATGTTGGTAAAATTATCAGAACCAACATCTGTGTTGATAGGATGACCGGGTCATGTCAGGTGATGACCTTGTACTAAATCTAGGATAATGACATAAAAATCACTTGTTCAAGTATCATACCTCAATTTCCTTCCAAAAAATCACTTCTTTAAGTATCATTATTTTAATAACCCCCACTAATTTCAACACCCCCGAACAGTGAAATTTTTATCGCGAACAGTAGAATTTTATTACATAATCTATAAGATGAAACCTTGAATTTTACAGGAAAAATACTCCCACTGCTGGGAAAAATCTGTTGAGAAAGTATCAGTTCATTATGTAAAGCCATTTTTATAGCATTTTTTCAAGTAAAATAGAATTTGCAGCTAAATGATTGCATCAAAGGCATAAACCTTGATGCTTAAAAGAGGCAAAAAGTTCATTTTTTTCAATTTTACTAATGAAAAGATATTATTTAAAGCTATGTGTTTAAAATTTTGGTAAAACTACAAAACCACAATTTGTGACAAAACTTTGAATTTGCTACTTAAATAAGTGATTTAAAAATCACTTATTTCAATAAGTCCCCTGACTGTTTAAACTTTTAAATTGATTCAATACTGTATTATCGATAATTGCTATACTCGTGTTATTTGGCATGAAATTATGTTCTGTTTTACGTCTTATTTTAAACTCTTTTAAAAGGGGGATGCCGATTGCGTAAGTCAATATAAAAGCACATGTTCAACTTGTTAAACTTTTTCTTTGTAACTGGATTTAAAATTTACTTTTTAATCTCAATTTTCATTAGCATTTGCTGAAACTTAATTAAATAATGCAATCAATTGTCTATCTTGATCAAGTGATCTCGTCAGGTGTGTTGATCTACCTGTACAAGTGATTAGCGATCTTCTGTCGGATATCCCTCAGGGCTTTTAGATCTTTGGATTATAATACAAATTATACAATAAGCCTAAGGGTTACGGGGTATGCAATTACATGTAATTGATTATAATTGCTAACAAAAATGGCGGGGGCTAGCGAGAACGAAAAAACACATTTTGACAATGGCGGAAGATAATTTAAAGATGGCTGGGATCATTTGACAATGGCGGAAGAAATTTTAATGATGGCGGTGCACCATCATAAAACAGGTCATAGAGATCCCTGCTTTTGGAAACAGAATTTACACAAAGGTTGACAATTTTTACACACCCACCAATAAATTGTGATGTACAATGCAGCATGTGTGATTGAAGTAGGGGTTAACTAGTGTTTCTTACAGGAGGTTTTGGCATGGTATGGCACCCTGCCCTTTTTTTGGAAAAAAAATTTGGCGCCATGCCCTTTTTCCATTGTATTTTATAACACCCTGCCTTAATTTAAGATCGGTTCTGCGATTCATATTTTAGCAAGACCATTTCGAGTTATTTCCCTTTGAACGAAATCAAAATTTTACTGGCCGACATTCTATTGAATTTCGTTATTATGTTGAACATGTTGAACATTTTTGAAGCGACTCAGTACAAATACGGTTCATGATTGAACATCATCACACTTTGTACCTCTACAAATTTAAAATGTAGACAATTTAAAAGGGAACCAGGTGATCTTTTGAGTTATAATAATTTCACGATGCATGGGATGAACATAACGTAAACAATCAGCTGTTTGTTTATATTTTCATTTTAAGTTTGACCACTTTAACTTTTCAACTTGGTCGAGATGACAGAATGGGTGTGAATTTACGACTGCTTTTTTTACAGTTGTTATCTAAATAAAATGAAGTTAAAAGAATAGCTGATATTGTTTTGATTAGTACCTTTCAATAGACAAAAAATTACAGAATTAAATGGGTGAAAAGGATTAATAGCCTTAAAAGTTTTGTACAGTTATGAGCTAAGGTAATTCTGGGAAATAATATATTGTATAATAGTCCCAGGGTAATTATAGCTTTGATTGGTATAAACATGTCACATCCAAAAGGTATTTGGCACTAATTCTTTTGTGAAGCTAAAAAGCAATGCAATATGCTCCTTGTCATACAAGTCTTGACACTTTCACCATTGTTCACAACACATCCTTGGCTATATAGAGTCAATCAGCCGCAGTGATTAAGTATCAAAGTGTAAAACTGGTGTTATTGATGAGGCAGTTTCACCATCAAGATTACTATTCTATTAGCTGAGTCTAGAAGTGATAATATTATTGCAAAAAGCTTAAGGAATTAAATTAATAACCTGATATACACATCTTTATTTTTTTACCAGTAAATATGAATCAATGGTATATCTAATTAAACATGTTAAATCCCTATCCATAACATTGCCTTTATATCTATGTAAAGTGTAGTCCATCACACAAAGGGTGCCCTCAAAGCGTAGCCAATCGTGCTAAGGGTGCCCTCAAAGAACAAAATTACCCTGCGCTTTTCATGCTTTTCAAAAGCTGCAGGAAACACTTTTAACCCCCAGTTAAAGAAGTCAAATCGAGCTGTAACCCAATTACTGCTCTGGATAATCAGATTCTGTCACAATAAAATTATGTTAAATATATGTGAATATTTGTACTAATCCCATGCATTCCCAGCAATTAGCTATATATATATAGTGATAGTATTCATCAAAAGTTGATGGACAACTGGATACCTTTATGTCAGTTAAAAGCTCATTAGAGCTTATGTTATGTCATTGCTTGTATACTCTGCCAACTCTAATTAAAGCTTACTTATTTTTTATTTATTCAGGGTTTAAGCTAGGATTTTGAGGGCTTTAGTCACTTTTGCGCGGGACGAAAATCAACCTTATTTTGGGTAGCAGCAAGGGACCTAGGATGTATATTACTATATTTACATCTTTGTCAGACTGTGTAGGACTTAGGCATACTAGGCAGTTACTGCATGATTTGACTGATGTGGCACTTAAATACAAAGATTAGGATATAAAATGTAGAAATCTAGTTCACAATTTCACTTCAGTTAGTTTCAGGGTACATTCCTTATCAGCAAAAGTTGGGATCCATTTTTTTTAAGCAAGGAATCACAGCATAAATGAACTTGTAAGGACTATTTCACTGCATTATTCATACTCATTATCCTTAAAAACGTTTTAAAGCGATATTTAGAATTAATTCTATAAAGTTGGAACCAAGGATTTGTACAAATCCTTATTGGAACAATTTTAATGACTTTAAATTGTAAATTTATCATGAATAGATCCAAATGAAATGAGAACGGGAAGTGACAAGTGGATAATAAATTCAGAATGAATCCGGATTCATCTACGGATTGGTTTGTGTTTAAAAAGGCAGTAAATTATCTTTTTTAATTTAAATTTGCTAAATAAGAACTATATTTGTCTCTCTTGTTTAGTTTGATACTTAATTATTTCGTATTTTACGTTTTAGTGTCTTTAAATTCATAATAATAATTTCGCGCATGCGCAGTTCATCGTAAAGGAAGCACCTGTTTGACTCGCGTAAACATTTCTGAATGTTATGAATAAAGTTCTATCTTTTTAATCGAAATTGTCGAAAGTTTTTGATTAAAAGTTATATCAAATATGACGAAAATACGTTCATTTGACGAAACTACGATAAGCGAACTGCAAATTGTGATCGTTTGGGAAATATTGAAATTAAAATGCGAACTGTTCGAGGGAAAACTCAAATGACGAAACTACGACAAACAAACTGCAAATTATGCTCGTTTGATAAATATTGAAATTGAAATGCCGACTGACTGATTTTACTGGGGAAAATAATTATGATGATCAATTATGAGGTTGATAAATGATTAACGGATTAGTGACCCATCAGATGGCGATAAGCGGATTATCTGTAATCACAACTTATAACACCTGTTGTAAATGTTAATTAGCTGAGGGTCATAAACTTGTCAGAAACAATAAGACAGGTAGAATTATAGTATATTCATGCGAAAATATTTTTACTCTTTCCAAATTTAAGTGACGAAATTGATTTGGAATACTTTCGTCATTTTGAAAACCGTTTCGTAAATGACGAAAATGACGAGCGCTAGCAAAATCACTGTTTATTTATCTAGTAAAGAAGAAACAGAAGAAAGGTCAATACTCATGATACTTGAAACAGAACTTTTTACTAGTTTAGACACCTGGTCCTCAATTCATTATACTGTGTGCAAAATTGAAATATTTGAAGTTATTAAGTATATATAATTATTCAACTAATACGGATAAGTTTTTCTAGAAATGATTGTGATGACGCAGTTGTTTTGAAATGGACCTGATCAGCATCAGTCAAATTTAGAGGTTTTATGTCACTTCGTTAACCTGAAATTGGATTATTTTTTCTGTCTGCTCTGGTGATATTTCTTCTGGTGCTTCTGCCATTATGATCTGTTTTATGTGTGGTAAATATGAAAGATGCGTCAATGACAGATTTAGAAATATTGCAACTTTCCAATTTTTCTATCCCGGATCTTGTCGAAATAAACTAAATGTGGAAACATAGAATTGACGGAATGGATACGATATGAAACACGGGTTTTCAATCATTAAACATACGCACGAGAACACAACTAAACAGACAGTAAGGGGTAAAGGAGAAAAGTAAAATTAAACTAAAAATTGCATATCATCATGTGACAATTAAAATAAAAGCAAACGAAAGCAAACTGTTTTGAACAAATCCAATAAAAACAAAACCAGAGTTGAGTTCACTTGCCGATCCTTATGATCAATGCCATATCACACTGAACACGAAACTAAGAATACAAAATAGTTCGTTTAATTCATAATCTGGATTTTTTGCCAGTCGGCTATCAGTTTTTATCAAGATAGTACAATAAGCGAGAGCCGAGATTAACTAGAGATTTTTTTATTGTACATTCGTTTATATGTGACCTTTGTTATTCCACTGACCAAGGAGAGGAGGTGACACGGGCGCGCTAATTTCGCAAATCCAGCCTTTTTATGCTATTTTTCTCACTTCCCACTTTTTTCCTCCTTTTTCCCAGAAACCACTTTGTATCCCCTATATCCAACATCAACACCTTTTTTACCCGCTTTATCCCACACCCCCATCTGATTAATTACCCCTATATACCACATCCACAAAAAGCGTGTCATTCTCACATCGAGTTTAACCTGAAGCTTGAAGGGGAAGAATTGAGATCTAAAAAAGAGTAAGTTTGACACAGTGGCCACATGTTCATTAGCCTGTCCCAATTCGGGAACATCGTCAGTGATTGTCTTATGTCATATTCAATTGTTTTGTTTTTAGATATAAGAAGATGTGGTATGAGTGCCAATGAGACAACTCTCCATCCAAGTCAAAATTTATAAAAGTAAACCAATACAGGTCAAAGTACGGTCTTCAACACGGAGCATTGGCTCACACCGAACAACAAGATAAAAAGGGCCCAAAAAATTACTAGTGTAAAACCATTCAAACGGGAAAACCAACGGTTTAATCTATATAAAAAACGAGAAACGAGAAACACTTATGAACCACATCAACAAACGACAACTACTGAACATCTGATTCCTGACTTAGGATAGGTGCAAACAATTGCAGCGGGTTTAAACGTTTTAATGGTACCAAACCTTCATCCTTATCTGAAACAATAGTGTAACATCACAACATAGAAAGACACACTATAAAATATCAATTGAAATGGCTTAACTCAACCAAAAGACATATTAACACCAGTGAACATACACTGAACAAATAAATTTGATCTATGATACAATGTAAATACAAAATAAATGTTAGTTTGTTTTGTAATATGGAGAATTTTAATAGTGTCGATTCTACTTCTACTTCTACCATTACGCGACCATGCACCACCAATAAACTGATTATTTTGCCACTTTTGTATGCGCATGTTAATATTTTAGAGAAAACAAAAGAGGGATATGTGCTATACATTCTATATACAGTGTGGTTAAAAAAATAATGAACGGACGTTGGTGGTCTAGATCGTCTTATGTAGGCGAGTCTAGAAACATTCAAGACAACCTGCACTTGTGGCGGTAAATGGTAGTGCGTTTTAGTCTCTTATTGTTCTTGGATTCTTTCCTCACTTCTGTTCTACACGATGATACTTGGAAACCGTTGATGTGTATGTTACGGGATAGTCTGTCTGGTGGAGTGAGAGTGTTTTCTGTATCAACATTACCATCCCGTTTTTCAAGTTTGTACATGATTGACAGTCTTGATGCTTTCCTACGATCTTCAAGGGTTTTCATTTCGAGTTAGGTAAGCATGTCACCAACAGACGAGGTGCTGTGATATCTGTTAGTGAAGTATCTTGCTGCCCTTCTTTATACCATTTCAAGCCGTTTTTTTTTGTTCTGCTGGAAAGGGTCCCAGACTGTGCAGGTATACTCCAAGGTTGGTCTAACTAGGGATTTGTATGCAGTTTCCCTTATGGTGGTATTGTTAATATTTAAGTTCCGTTTCAGAAATGCAATCTGCCCGGGTCCTGTCTGCCAAATTACAGATGTTTTGATGTGTTAGTTCCATTTCAAGTCTGAACTGATGGTACAACCTAGATATTTAGCAGATTTTACAGATTGAAGGTTGTGCATGGCCATGCATTGTGTACTCTCTCGCATAGGTTTGCGTTTTCTGGAATTGTTCAGTACATTGCATTTATCGGGATGAAAGGCCATTTTCCATTTTGTTTCTGGTCCATATTGCCAGTTTGTTGACATCGGCTTGTAGGTTGTCACTGTCTGAATTTGATGCTATGGTAATATATACTATGATATCGTCGACAAAGAGTCTAACCCTTGAGCGAATACCTTCTGACATGTCGTTTATGTAGAAGAGGAACAAACTGGGTCCGAGTACTGAACCTTGTGGGACGTTGTTCACATCCTTGTCCTGGGTCTTTGATTATTTATTGTGCCATTGATGTTTTTTTTTCTTCTATACCTCACCAAATCTAACTTTGAAAGGGATTGTTGTTATTTCTATACCTTAATATTAGAATTTCTTAGGTTCATATAAAAATTATACAAAGAAACTACTTTTCTCTTCCTGTGATTAATTTTCCTTCTCAGTGGCGGATCCAGAAATTTTCATAAGTGGGGGCCCACTGACTGCATGCCTAAGAGGAGACCCGCTCCAGTCATGCTTCAGTGATTCCCTATATAATCAACCAAATTTTTCCCACAAAAGGGGGGCCCGGGCCCCCTGGGCCCCCCTAAATCCCGGGCGCCTCTGCTTCTCTTGATGATGATATTCCTTTTGCTTCTTCTATGAGGGTCTGGATAGGGTTTACAGAATAGAGAATAATGGGTCAAATCTGCAAAACAATTGACCAAATAAATAAAGAAAAGACAATCATAGGGCAAAAAATATAGAATATAGAATAATGGGGGGCTAAAATATAAAAGAAATAAAGAATAATGCACAAAAATATAAAGAATAGAGAAACATTATCTAAAAAAATAAGTAACACAGAAATTAAGGACCTCCATCTGGACCCTCTTCTATTGAAATGTAAAGTTGTCACGATGAGTTGATTTGATATGTGAATTCTTATAGTGACCTTTCAAATTTAAATGAACGTAATACTTCCGTTACTAAACTTCTTTTACAAGCACTTGAGATAAACTCCGGTTTTTTGGTGTGGTTCGTGTTGCTTTAGTCTTTATATAGTTTTCTATGTTGTTTTTTGTAGTCTGTTGTTTGTCTTTTTGTCGTTTTTCGTGTTTTTTTGCCACGGCATTATCAGATATGGACTTATGAGTTTGACTTTGTATACTATTGTTTGTCTTTAGTTGGTTTTTTTTGTCATTGCATTGGCTGCAGTTCGTTTTCGACCTATCCCTAATTTGATCACTTTCGCCTTTCTTTTATAATAGAACTATATATATTATCTTTAAATTTTGTTTTTATCGGTTCAAGCATTGATTTTGTTTTTGATAAATTAAAACATAACTTAATATATGTATCTAAACGTTCACGAAAAAGTAAGGTCCTACATCCCGTTGATATCATTTTAATTTTGGCATTGCACAATGTCATGCTTTTCCATACTGTTTATGCTGTCTTTACATTAAATCCATTGGATGTGTATACTGATTGAGAGTTTAGTCTGGGATAACATGATTATTTATTAGTTGTTCTGGCTTTGAACAGTAACTTAGGGTACTCTTAAATCGGTTCTTTGTATTTTATAAAGGTAGTAAATGACTTCTAAAACATAAGTATAAGAGCAAAAAGAAAAAAAAAATCAAAGCAAAATCTTGACATTTGGATCGAAAGTGACATCTTTTTTTAGGAGATCATCAAATAATATAGCTTTTAAATGTATATCTGTGACGTTATCAGGAAATGCAACCTTTTTCTGGTTATCACTATAAAAGATCAGAATTTGATGTTTTAACTGTCAAACAGCTGTTAATTCAAAAATTATCGGACCAAATCATTATTTGGGATTGATGATCAGCCGTCAAAAACATGTGACATAAATTAATGCAATTAACAAGTACTGCAGAATTAAAAATACCAGTTCTAATTTAAGCAATCCAGTTTTCTTTTGTCAAATTTTTTTTTTCTAAAATTGTTATTTCTTTATTTTTTTATTCACCTTTTTATGAATTTTATTCTACGTATACATGCTCTCTAATCATGTGCAAGAATATGTCACATTTCCAAGCGAGATAACCCAATCTGTTTAAATTGGACAGTAGATAATTAACGACAACTCTTAACTCCTTCCAATAGACGTCGTTGCATTTACTAATCTTGTTAAATACAACAGAGACATGTCTCTGATAAAAATTAATTCGCGTCTTCACGGGAGATATAAATTACGATACTTGAGTTAGTGGTCTTTAAAAGGGCTATTTTATTGAGATCAAAACCGCGTCGAGATTATAAATCAATGTACAAAGGGGAAATTATTTTGAAAAATTAGGAAAAAAATCCATAATTTTTGTTAATTGATCTTGAGTGACATTTTTTTAACAAACACTCATAAAACGTATCTCATGAGTTTTGATGTTCATATATCTTAAAAAATACCATCTAGGAGGTTATATGACATCCTTGTTACCAAAAAATTTAATATTTTCATTAGCACTGACGGAGAAATTGGTACCGAACCGTAGATTACGCATTTTAATCACTATTAGTAATGAAATTATATGGCATAATACCAGCTGTGTTTTTATAAACATATAAACACCAGCAAACAGAAGTTTGTCCAGCATTCTAACAATAGGCTATATATATTCATTCATTTCAGTACAATCATTCATTTATGCCTTGGACAAATAAGTTTGCTTTAAAATGATGCTATATATGTCTTTGAAGAAATAACTTACAAGCTAGATGTTTTTAATTTTTTAAATGTTTTATGTAAAAACGGCTAAACATATCTCAATCATCTTTAGTTAGGTCAGGCGTAGGCAGACAAAAAGGTTCAATAAATCAAATTTAGACAATTGGTGAAAATTAAAGATAT